AAGTCCTACAAACTAAATGAATTTGTATAACTTTCTGTGTGATGATGTTATAGCTGAAAATAGCAGCTTCAGTCTTTTAATTATAACAAGATCAATGCATTTTAATCGTGTAACCGGTACAAGATACTTGTACAATAAAAACTTACTTCCCATCTCTTTAACCTCACACAAGGATGAAAACTTGGATCCTCTAACAATCTTGAGTTCACAAATGAGAGTGAGAGATCTGGCATTCCTGACAGCTTACAACACGAGTCAATCTGAATCAAAGCCAAAAACAATAACTGCATCAAAAAAAATGATTTTAATGATAAATTCCTTTTAGATAAAAGCTGTCCAACAATATTCCATTGGTTCCAAAATTGGGAATTGAATTTCAGTTACAGGAGGAAAAAAATTCATATTGTCACTAACCACTCCTTGGATCTCTGTAAAAACTGTTGATCCCTGTGAAGAAAAGACACAAATTCAGTGCAGAGCCATAAATAAAACAGCAAGGCCAACTTTATGATGTATTAAATCTTTGACAGAGTACATACATGTTTGTCAATGATGCAATCAATTTCCTCAATGACATCAAAATAAATCTGCAAAGAACAATACAACATTTTCCAGTCAGAACATGAGATGGTTACTTATTTTAAAGATTCTCTCACTGTATCAAGCAAGAATGAATTCATGAAATAGTTTTATCTTTATTAGCAAAAAAGCAGTACGAATCAAAAAATCTTTCAGCTCCTACCAAACCGTCCTTTAGTGTTGCTCTAAGAATTTGCTTCTACATCCTACAGGGTGCATTCATGGCAAAGATCTTGCTGTTTTAATAGAAACTGGCTGCAAGGGTTGTATCCTCTACTAACTTGACTTTTATACTCTTTTTACCTTGATACTCATATTGTAATGTAGATGTCTTAGTCTTTTAATTCTGTATTGTATTTTACACTAATAATTATGTGTCCCCTTATTAGTATGGGTTCTCCCAGGTTACATGGTTTTGATACTTTAATAAAGTTTATTATTATTATTATTATTATTATTATTATTATCATCATTATTATTACTATTATTATTATTATTATTATTATTATCCTGTTATGATATGGATGCATGGAAAAACCCTAAACAGTCAGAGACTATGGTTTCAATGAACTTTTTTTTTATCGCAGTTAATTGTTTTCTGCAACTTGAAACAAGAGTTTCATTACACTGGTCTACTGTTATACCTCATTATGACTATATTTGACTCCAGTTCTCCTCCAAGGAACATTAGAAAGTTGACCAGTTGGAAGATGGGTGCCAACACTAAAATGAAATGTTCATCAAAAAAACAGCATTTGTCAGATTTCAAGTTTTGTAAATATTGCACAACATGAACTTGTAGGTACTATTGTCCTATCTGCTAATCCTCAAAAGGACAACATAAGACAGTCAAGCTTACTGTGATCCACCAGTCACTGTGTTCATAACTTGTCTGACAATGCTGGGAGGATTAATGAGTTCTCGTAAGATGTTAGGTTCCGTTGCCAAAGGAAAGCCATTATCAAGCATCTCCTCTAGTAACTGGGAAAAAAGTTAAAATCAAATTAAAATACACATACTTCAAAGGTATATCAATTTTAAAGCTTAAGGCTTTTTTTCTAAGAGGAATGATATTTAGAGTGCTTCATATACCTCCTCACCTCAAATACTATGACAACATTCTCTTTAATGGACGTTTCAGTACAACTGTTAAAATACTCAGTAAATGTGTCCACAACTCTGTGTAAAAACTCTATCACAAAAAGAGGTGGCACTGAAAAGAAAATGAAAGAACAACAATGATTAAACAATAAACAAATACTGTACATCAGTTTCTGTGTGATACAACCTCTCAGACCTTCCACTTTACACGCCAAAGTTCTAATATGGCAAAGTGTTAATTTGAGTTCCAAACAATCAGAGAGAAGTGTTCAAAAGTCCCCTGAGACCACCAAAACTACATGTATATCATTTAGTAATAAACCAAATACACCTCTCCAGAATATTCATCAAAAGGCACATTGCATAAGGCAAGAAATGTTTTTTTCTAGTAATTTGAGAGCTTATTTTTATCATTAGATTATTACTATTAGCTAAAACTTAAAACAGTTATTAAACCACTTCATGTACAATGCCTGTCACCAAGTAAATGGTGCACACTGTATTTCTGTAATATTAGCTGTGAGAGAGTACTTTGCATTAAAAGCCCACATGTACCTTCACTCTGAACTACTGCCAGGAAAAACAGGCTGTTCCTGTAGATGCTTATAAGGTAATGATGGGGAGCTGCAATCACTGCAGGAACATCATCAGGTGAATTAGCCTGATCAAAACAAAGATACAACTTAGCATCACTCTAATTTTTAAATAATTTCATACACAAACATAAATGTACTTGAATATAATAAAATAAACGTGTTTGTAACATTCAAGGAGCAGCCCAATTAGAAGTTAAAAGTGGGTATCTTCCTGAGACATCCCATATCAGAACCATATTTGTTTATGGAAGTCAAAGCCTTTCCAGAAAGAAAACTCTTCCTTACCCAAATGAAGATTCCCTTAAAAAAATTTACCCAATCAAATGTTACCTTTAAAAATGCAGCTTTCTACATATGCCTCAAGACTGAACACTAGTCTGACATTCACTGTAAATTCAGTCAAACCATTTTCTCTTACTTTTTAAAGAATCTTGAACAACCATATACATGTTTTATATATTTTTTAAATTTTTAAAGTATCTCAGTGATAGGTGGTAAACATTGTTTTCAGCAATTAGATTTTAGTATATTAGTTTTATTATTATCATTATTATTATCATTATCATTATTTGGACCCAAAATGGTTGAAGCACTGTTGAAGATGTAAGACCCAAAACAAAGAGAGTTTTAGCATGAGCTCCCAGGTAGCCAATAAGGTGTTACTCATATATGATCGAGGTATTTGCCATAAACCAGCATGTGATGAAAGAACTACCTTTACATTAACTTTAAAATCATAACCAATGCCATACAGCAAATAAATTTTGTGTCAAAAGATTTAATAAATAATGGAAGCACAAGGATGATGGTTTCAGGCAAATTTTAAGACTTTCAAACATTTTGAAAATGTCTACCCTCTAATCTAATCGGTAGAACAGTTCAAAGTCTCTTATTTTTCCTGTATTACCCAGGGACACAGTCTTGAAACAATTGTTTGTGTTTGTCACGTGAATGAAACTAGGACCACTTCCACTTTCTGCATGATTTCAAAGCTATAAAGAAGACACTTACTGTTAAATGACTACTACTTTACTAACAAGCCCTTTGTGAAAATCGTTTTTTAATTTACCTTGTTCAGAGCTTCGAAGAAATGATCACATACGGATCTACCAATTACACTTTTCCAGTGCTTTTCAATGAATATGTCACTGTTAGGAGACAGAAATGGAACATGTCAAAAAACATAGCAAGCGCTGAGACAGTTATTGTTATCGATGCAGATACGAATACATGTATCTTTTTGCTTCATATTTCATACTTACCCCACATTATTGATTACAAATAGGCTGTTTATCATGTTTAAAATCTAAAAAGATAACACAAGTACGATAGCCAAAATGGAGGCGCTGCAAGAAGGAAGGTGAGATATTATATGTACATTACACCATATATAGACTGAGTATCGCAGCGAACCGCTTAGACCTAAGCTCTCCCCAGGACCTACTCAAATGGACGTGAAGCTAATGTCCCATTCTTTAACATTGCCTACTTGCTCATTTCAATCATTGCTCAGATTCTTTCCTGGTTAGAGTAAAAGCATCTATGACTTACTTTCGACAACAAATTCTCCTCTGCTTAATCTTCATGGTTAACATGTGTTTGTTGGTCAGAAAGCACAAAATGATGTGTTCGAATAACTAATTTATTTTCCACACAGATATCATCTAAAATCTATACATAACCCTAATCCATTAATATGGCCATACTTTCCTTTAGCACATGAATAAAACGTCGATCCCATAAGCTAGTTAAGACCTTCATCGTGTACTAAGCATAATTTTATTTAAAATGAGGCAAAAATGAAATAAAATAATGACCTTTCCACACCAAGCCTCACGCGCAGGAAAGTGATCGTGATATTGATTCAAGAAGTCGGAGCGAAAGACGAAGGGCTAACGCTTGAAATGTCAACTTTAAAAACTCATAACCTGAAAAACAACGGTGGAAATCTACGCATTGTTCCAGCTTAAAACGAATACGGTATTTTGACTCAAGGAAAAGAAGCAGTTACTGAAAAGCCCTCTCTGATTCAAACTAACGCCCACACAGTTTCTGCAACCTCCTCAAAACAACCGACCTTTATCATGCCCAACTACAACAACGAGAAGTTTACTTGCATCTTCAAAAGATGTTGAAAAGAAACTGTCGATCAATAACAGATGGTCAAAATCGTATCCAAACATCTTTTTCTCAGTTTTTCAAAGAAGGCGGAAAAAGTTTCAAATCGGTGGTGAAAGTGTTATTGTAAATCTGGGGTGTGTTTCCTGAAAAAAATATGATGTTATTTTTTGCGTTTTTGTTATTTTTTTTTTTGGAGAGATTCCTGGAGCGATAAAAAACTAAACCGACAACATAGAACCGCAGTATTCCGTAAAAAAAAAGACAACAAACCTCACATTTTACTTAAACTCTTGAACGCAGCAGTACTTAACCCCTAAGCAGAGCTCTCGAATCAGACTGAGTCAAAGGGCAGGTGAATGACGGCGGCCACATGGCGTCAATGGAGATAACATCATTCTTATATTTATATTTGCTTTCAAAGAAGACAATTCAGCATCATTTTTTTATGAATTTTTACTTCCAGTTATTTTGCATTTTACTTATTTCATCATCACTCACTTTATTTATTATTCGTCATCGTTTATCACTGTTTTTTCTTTAAACTTGAAAAGTTTCCAGACATCTCTATCAAATCTCCAATTGCAACCGCTTCTATAGCAAAATGTTGAGATCCCGCGTTTTGTCATTAAATCAGATCGTTTGATTTTGAAATGCTTTGTTCATCTATAATTAAAAATAATGTTTTTCAACGTTTAGAGTAGCTCGGAGATCAGCAAGACGTTTTGAGTCCGTGGGTGTCTTTGGTGTTGACCTGGTAACTTCTTAAAAAAAAAAAGACAAACTTTTCTCTTTCCTCAAATCTGAGATTACCCCCCGTCAAAGTTTATTTTTTGAGGATGCAACCGTCTTTTCGGCAAAATCCCTGCAAATTTGAAGTCCTTATAAATTCCGTCAAATTGCATTTCTTTTCCTCAGATCCCAAAGTTTTCCTAGCATGTTCAAAATAAACAGATTCACGAGTGTAGGACTCTTTTATTTCACTTCATTCATCATCTTTTGATCACCTTACTCACTGTTGACTCTGCGCGGTTCTAATTAGCATATCGCACGGCGAGATTTTTTGCCATTTGTCCGTAAATTGACTCTGGAAATTGAGTACTTTTCTTAGCAGACTAGTCCTTCATCTTTTTAAGTTTATCATTATAACAACTGCTCATAGAGGGGTGGAGAATGTTGTTAGACCTTCACTCTGCTACTCCCCAGGTCGGTGAACATTCACAACTATCCACCTTTATTTCGCTAATTAATTTTAAAATGGTGCTGGGGAAATCAAATACCTTAGGTTTAAAAAGAAACTTACAGAGGGTTAACCCGTGAAACAAGGCCTACATAAGGTATTTAATTTGTAACTTAGCTCGATCTCTCTTGGTTCTGCTTCACATGACAAACTCATATTTATGCCAGTCTTAAAAGCCGTTTAGTCTTCTCGAATGATCGGCCACTTCTTGACTATTTTTTTTTTCCCATAATGAGAAACGATATGTGGGCTTACGATGAACCTGACAATTGTCAACACCATATGCCCGTGTGTCTACAAACTCTGCACATTTCTAAGCCCCAAGATGAATCAAAACATTCGGCACATGTTTATCTCAGACCATGTTAACTCCTATGGTAGACTCAGTTTCATATTTTGTTTCAGAAACTGAACCCTGTCTCCGCCCATATTCAGGCCCCATTCAGGCAAGGATAGGATTACGACCTCTTTAGAGGTATGTTCGTAGACAGTTCGTTTGTAATTAAACAGGGCTGAATTTTGCTGTCTTAGCTACATTACTCCGGCCAATAGCGTAAGATAGAGGCAGGAATGGGTTGTCAATAGAGAGCCCTGTTTTCTGTCTATGCATTCGGACGTGCGGTAGAAGTTTAGCTCCTATGACAAACATTGGTAATTTTTCCCAAAAGTGGCGCTATAATTCCCACCCTTCCTTAATGTAGTGGGGGTTCATGTGGAGTAAATTATTCATGGTAATACCTGCGCTCAATTGTTGTCTCTGGACCTTTTTTAATAATGAGTGAAATATTATGGCAGATCATATAATGCTTACCTCTTGCACGTCAATAGCAGGGTTCGAAGTCCCGGCGCAGTTATCCTATTCAAGCCACCTTGGCCAAGTCTAAAGTAATCCGAGTAAATTTACTCGCTGTCTTCATCAACGTTTTCGTTTCATTCGAAATACGATTCCGATAAGTTTGACAAGAAAAGCTGCCTTGGTCCCAATAAACGACAAAGCAGTTTCACTAAATGGCCGATAACTAACAAGATAGAAATCGCAAGGCAATATTCCGTCAGTACCTGAGAAAACTTTTTTTTTGACCATCCAATCAACTTTATTTCGGCTTTCTAATAAGCTTCATTTTCCCTGACAGAAACCCCCGTTTATGTGTCAACCGTTAACAGAAAACTAGCTTGAATGACGCTGACTGGTAACAATAGCAGGAATCCATGATGCCACTATGGTGGTCGAATGCCTAGAGTAAAATTTTAAAATGTATAAAAATATAACCATTGAACTATCTTAGATTAATTGAGGCGATTTAGTGATAGGGGATAAAGGAGATATCCTTTTCTCTCAGCACGACTTAGGGTAGAATAAACCAGTCTTAAAAGGCAGTGTGAATGGATCATCACTTCTTGCAATTTTTTTTCAACGAAAACAGAGGTTTCTCCTCTAAATTAAATATAAATTTCATGGAATTGACATCTTTCAGGCTGTGGGCTGCATCTCCGGTTGCTTACGTGTTACTTTTCCGTTTTTCAAAATTTTCCAAAAATATTTTTTTTTTAGCAAATACTACAATAACATATTTCTTCCAAATTTTGCTCCGTTGAAATAATATTTTTACGTCGGTACATGATTTTAAATTTTAATACGTATTCTCCATCAGCCAGCTCTCCGCCGCTCTTAATTAAATTAACTCGCTGTCAGGGAAAGAAATTTATCTTAAAAGGAATCTACCATTGAGCATCTGTCTGCAAGAACGGTCTCACCTGGTCTTAAGAGAGAACACAATGTCCTCTTGTGCGCTTGAGCACGTGCAAAGGTCTTAAGGAATCGCTTTGAATAACATCATACCATAAACACTCAAATCAGCCCCTCTCTGCAATAAAAATCCCTCTTCGCTAAGTCGCTCACTTAAAGGTTCAAGCTTTTCAGCTCTCCCCTCTCTCCCCTCTCTAATACAGCTCCCCCCTATCCCGTCCCACCTAAACAAATCTCCATGTATCGTTATTGATTTTGGCCAGTTAGCGTTTCAGTGAACCTCTAAATAGCATTTGATAGCTTTTGAATTTAGACATTTAATGCGACAATCAGAGGAAAACTAACGAGTGGCACATTGGTCCTCACCAATGCTTTACAATAATCCCCCCCCCCTGGCTCCCTCTAATAAGCCCCTTTCTCTCAGAAGCCCCGTTATCCAATTAACCCCCCTAAATGGAAACCCTGCAAATTGATAAGCGCCCCCTGTGGCTCATCAGGGCGTTTGTGTTACGTTACGTTAATAACCACAAGAGGGCTCGTGTCTTGTAAATTTATATGCTTTTCATTCCGGGTTTCCTTATTCAGAAGTTCCTCGACCCGTTCCAGGTTACAAGCGTAAATAAATTGTACTTCTTGATCTCTTTACTTTTCCTTAATTCCATCGCAAAAGAAAAAAAAACAACGGTGTGAAAAAGATTCTTGGCTTCTTCCGCAAATTCTCGATAGATTTCTCTCAACGAACAGTCAGCAGTTACACGTTAGACGAAGTTGGTCAAAATATAGTGATCTGTTTGTGATTAGAAGATCAATTATTTGAAAAATGTGAGGCAACTAATAATACTGAGTTGAAAATAATCATAAGGATAATAATAACAGTATGAAAACATTGGATCGATGTCAGTATCTAAGCAATTAACTGCGCACCTACCCGTCCCCAAACTCAACGTTAAAATACTAACTTGTTATTAGTTGATTGTTGTTGTGTTACGGGAGGGGTAGGTGTGCAGCTGCTCTGATGCTGACGTCCAACAAAAAAAAATTATTTGTACCATGTTTAGCGCATTGTGACAAAATATAAAGTTAGACGTAAAATTTACAATTCTAAAATACATTACTAAATGCCTTATCAAATAAAAGGTCTCCTTTTAAAAGTACTTAAAAACGGAAATGATTGAACTGCAGATGAAAGGAGATTGCGGAGTCTGCGGGCGGTATAGCGGATCGATCTATGTCACCTTTAAGGTCCTCAAGTTTCATCTGCGAACCACTGACAAATCTCTTTACTTTTCAACAACCCAATGCAATGACTGTTTCATCACTCAATTTAATTTTTTTTTTTTTTGCCTTATTATTTTCAGGGAATCGATCACTCTCTAAAAGCTAAGACTGAGTAGCCATCTGTCATTTCCTAAGTACGAGCGTGGACCCAACTACGCATGAGCAAAGCAGAATTTTCAGCTGAAGAAAGTAAGACGGTATTAAGCATGAGTGTACCATTATCTGTGAACGTTTTCTTGCGGATCACTTTATGAGGTCCCGGCCGGTAAAAAAGCAGAAAAATTCACAAACAATGATCCAATTTGTGGTTTACCTACGGGATGATTGCCCGCTAACGCTTTTAGTGTAAAAAAAGGGGGGGGGCTGTTTCCTCGGAACAAAACATCGATGAAATCGAACCTCTATCATATCAGAAATAGCACAAGTAATCTGGAAAACAATCTATCTTGAAAATGATATTGATTTGACTAGCAGAGGTCAGTCACAACATTTTTTTTTCAATCACGCAGCATGTAAATCGAAAGAGATGAAACTGAGGGGAGGTTTCGAGTCCGTCAGTTTCAACCAGGTGGATGGAAGGGGATACTGAAGCTTAAGTCGTTGTATTTTTTTTTCGCAACAATTTTCGAACTCGGACCTCCCAACTCCTTCAAAAATTGAACACGACAACCATGGTTTTTTTGGGCACAATTTCCGTTTATGTTTAAAATTTGCCGTCAGTCACTCTGTCACTCATTATAAGCAAACACACCTCATTAAAAATTCTTCATTCATATGAACTCAGTCTTTCGCCCCAGGTAAAATAACATTGAACTCAAATGGAGCTGGGGTTAATTGTAACTTTAACGGAAAATTTTTGCAAGCCCGAAGATGCATAGCCTATATTTCACGCGGCCTGTGTCCATAATCATTTACAAAGGGAAATATGACAGTTCTACTCTTTTTAGATGGCATTGTTGCTAGTTTTGTCTTCGCGTGATTTGTACCCGACTTATTTTCAAAACGCCTCAGGCATAGATCCTATGAAACATTATCTTTAGTCCTCTAGGCATAGGAAAGCAGCTGAAAGTCGGCTGAAGTGCTATCAAAAATATAATTTGTCTCCCGAAAACGTTAGCCCTGGGGCTTTTTGTCTTGAGGGCATCAGTGAAGTATTCTCTACGACGAAAAGCAGAGCGAAACCCACATCTCAAAAAAAACCCCCCGGACATTAGGCGCATCAATTTGCGAGCGTTTGATGTCGATTTACCCTGTGTTGTAGTTTCGTTGGCCGTGTTGTTCATGCTCGTTCGGCACCAGCTGAGCCTCAGGTACTCTAGAAGATTTCTAAGCAGGTAAGACAGTGCTAAATGAAGATACAGTTGTGCAGTTAATTCAAATCATTGCGTCTAAGAAACTGTTTTCGTTCTCGTGATATTCACATCTACGTACAAAACAGCGATAAGGCCAGGATAACAAGGTGTCTTTGTCGATCGTCACGAAATATTTTTCGAAGTAACTCTCCACTTTCACTCAGGTTACACATATCATCCCCGTTTCAAAACACGGTGCATGATTACAACATCAGATCTTAGAACAACATAGACATTTGCACGATACTTTCGCACCAAAACCTGCTTTATGTGAAGATATCGGTCAATGTTACTGCATATAAAATGTGTTTAATTATTTTCTGAAAATTTTATAGGTTGGAAGATCAATAACACAGGCGGGCATAGTATGTACTCGGATTTTCTAGACTTTTTTCAGTGAAAGCACCTTTTTTTGTGAATATTGCTGATAATTCGGACGTTAACAGTTTTTTTTTCTTTCACTTTTTTCTTTTTGTGCAACTACGTGGTAATAATCTCTTGGCTGGTAACTAATGATTAAAAGTTTGCTTCAAACTTATCACTTTCCTTGCTTGAACAAAGCTTAATTTCCAAGCGAAACTAGGCGTTAGGACTGGATAATAGAACTTCTTTAATACGTCATGTGATTTAAGTCTTTCACGTGATCAGTGTATTTGTTATAGAGGAAAATTAGAAAGCTAAAATACATCCTGACGTACCCGGGGGGTATCAGGAGGTCTTTGCAGGACTCACAATGGGTAAACAGAGAATCAATCCACTTTGGAAACTAAGACTGCTTCTGTCTCACGCACGTTACAAATGAATTTTACATCTTTACTAGACATGTAAATTGCGGAATTAACAAAATTATCAGACAAATTTGAGTGTCTCAATTTCAGTCTTGAACATGTGATGAAGACTAAAACTCATGTACGTAAAGCACTCGCATGGATAAATTACCCACACAAATGATTATTTATGGTTAACTTCAACTTTAGTGAAGGCCTTTAATATGTACTTCCCCGGGATTTTGAGTTGAAGCGAATTCTTCTCTTTTTTTCGCTCTCCGTGCAAAAGGTATTCTCCTCTGTTAATAAAAGGGGTCTGTTTCTAAAGAAACTGTGGTGCTGCGGTTGTGCTGCGTCGGTGGGTGATATTACAAGATAATTTGGCGTCATCAACTGAGTTGATAATGGCTCTGACGAAGCATGGGTTAACGCTCGAAAAGTCAGCTTTAGAGACTGAAACGGCGCACAATTTACGTTATTTATTCCGTTGATAAGACCGTATTATCTAGTATTCTACGTAAGTTTTTCGAAGGAACTATGTCAACGAATATATTCAATTTAGAAGGAAGCCGGATTGTAAAAAAAAATTATGTAAATAAGAGTTTTTTTTACTCCTTACCATATTTGTTTTTCAAGGCTTCGCCACCGTCGCGTGTTGAAGCCTGCCTGGTAAAAACCCCGGCTCACGGGCTACAGCGGATTCACCTTTAAACGCAATACAGTTAAAGTAAACATCGGTCCTATTTGCTCGGGCCGGTCTTGGGTTTATAAAATTTGTAATGGAGGATAGCGGTTAATTCACAGTTTCGCATTTTGGCAATTGTAATTTGCTTAGAGTATATAGGTTAAGTAAACCTTCTTTAGTTCAAATGCATCAATACAAATGAATGTGAAGTCTAATAAGTGATAAACATTCCTTACAGTCGCTCAATCAAAATCATTGTCTTAATTTTAAAACCGTTTGTTGTGCGAAAATGTATCTCGTAATATCTGACATATACTCATCGATCCAAAGATTGAGCTAGGTAGTAACGTTTGGAAGGTCACGTGGTTGAACCACGTGACTTCCCCTTCATTGGGCTTGTACTTGATCCTCATCCATCCTCAGTCGATATCTCAGGTAAGATATTTTCCAGCCAAATATGGAAAGCCGGGACGTCACAGAGTGAGTCAATCGAAACCTAACGTTGAATTTCTAACAAACTAATCTATGCTACCTGTCTGAATAATTCATTAACATTTCTGTGTTGAGGTGATCCAATAAATTACATCAACTCCGATGAAACCCAACCAGACAACACGATTTTCTTGAAATATAGAAATAACAAATTATTCAAAGCTCAGTGAGTGAATGGAAAGAGGTTAAAAAAAAAGGTCGCAGAGAGAGACTGGTCATGTTCCGGTTCAAGAGCATGAGGTGTGCGTCCATGCACCCGGCTGAAAATGCTGTGGGCACTACCAAAACATTCAATCACGGTGCCTCGGAAACGCTGGCGGCTTGCTCTAAAAATACCATGGTGTTTTAACGAGGAGGTGAACGAACATCGAATATTTGTTCGCCAAATGCCACCACCTCCACAGGGCTGATTATTTTGCGTGGTTGATTACGGAAGTTTCTGATGCATTTGCATGGCCTATCAGTTTCCTTTTCTTCTTTTGTATTGACGCTCTTTTCATTCTCTGTAGTTAGTTTGTTTTCCCATCCACATCTTTCTCTTCTTATTTTGGCATTTAGTTCGTTTAGTTCTTAGCAGAACAGATCCAGGGTAAAGAACAGGAGTTAGGAATAGCATCACGATAAATAAATTGCCGCAGGCAGGCTTTGATGAGTTCAGCGTCGAAAACTGAAAGTTGAACGAAGAAACACATTGAACCACTGAGAAAAATTAATTGTCAAGTGCGTGCATGGTTTGATTGATCCGATTAAAGAGTATCTACTTGGGCAATGACACCAATTTTAGTTTGACGCCTTGTTGTCTTGGGCCCCTATTGAGATGTTAAGAGTGCTAGCATTTTAATGCCAATAACTTGTCTAAAAAAGGCTGACATGCCTGAAGGCGCAGAAAATTTATAACTTACTTCAATAAATCCTTGGTCTACAGATTCCACGTTCAGAGATCTTTAAGCTGAAATGCGTCGGAATGGAAACTTTTAATTAAAATGGAGAACTTCGAGCACTAATTTTTTTCTGGATCAGCCTCGCGAAGCTTCTAGAGAAATAACTGAATGAATAGATTTTTGATCAACGTTTTTAAGATAGCCTCAAGCAAGATATCAATAACATGCCAGCGTTCATGCATTAACATGAAAAAAGATGTTTTAGAGTTTGAAGAAGGTTCTAGCGCTGGTCAAGATGGATCGTTTGTTGATTAATGTCCTTATATCATGGGATAGTTACATCGTCCCTCTAAGTACGAAAGTTAGTCAATATAAGTAGGACTTTCGTCCATGGTAACATGAGAGCAATAGTGAACTTTTCTTTAAAATATTGTGTCTTACAACAAGAGGATGCTTTGTATCTCTTTTCTATAAATAACCAAACAGCAAAACAGCACCAAACTTTTACTGCAAGTACAGTATCTATTTTATTTTCAGAGAAAGCAAGCAGTCAAACGTAAGTGGTTTGAAGTAGCCCTCACAGAGCTTAAAGATTAGAAATTGTCAGATTTTTTCGGCGAGGAAAATAGGACATCTAACAGATTTGAAAAATATCATCATCTCCACAAAAGGCCGTGTAAAAATAGCGTAGTTTACCACAAAAAATGTTAAAGATTACGCGAAGTCTTTTGCTCACTCAGACTTACGATTTCAACTTTATAGGTTAACTTAGAGGCACTTTTTGCTTGAAATAATTATCGAAATGAGTGCAAGGACCTATCAAGTCTGTTTGCACAAGCCACCTTGAACTCGCCCTGGTTAGCTTGCGAGCCGCCCAGCAGGACGTGTAGACAACCAAATATAACTCCATCAATAGCATTGTATTTCCCGAGGCTATAAAGACACACACTTTGGTAAGGCACATATAATAAACGTCTCCTGGGGGTTAAATATGCAAACGGCTTCTAGACTAAGAGCTGCCGGCCAATTTAGCATAATCAAGCCTGCTTTACACACAATACCCGACTGTCACTTGTAAAATTTGAATAAAGGGGAGTGAGGTATAATTGGGCATTTTAAATAGGTCCTTTTGTCAAAAACGTCCCGCGCTGACAAAGGACGCGGCTTAAAAATTTCTAATAACAATTTTCCGTCAGTGGTAGCTCACTGGATGAAATGCGTTTTTTGCAGCATACGAAAGGAGTTTAACTTCGCAAACTGTTTTTCAAGGAAAGATGGCAGTGAGGGTGAAGACAGACAGAGAAAGTCACCTCTCGTATTGTACAGGGGCTTTAGGGAAGGTGGATTCTCTGCAGCTACAGAAAAATGCTTCAAATGCTGAAAGTTTTGACCTTGTCAGACGACAAACGAGCTTTGTAGATGAAACTGCACAAGGTAGGGAAATAGTGATTCAGAAAATTTGAACCAATTAAAAGCTTTTTTACGTACGTGATAATGTGACCGGCGGATACGTTCGAGCGGCAGATAGTTAGCTTTAGGCTCTAGTCGGCCAGCTGGTTTCTTCCTTTTCAGCTAAGCACAACCCTCGTGAGAACTTAACTCAAATTTCCTCAAATAAAAACTGTTGCTAGGGATGGCTGACTTAAGGAGGCTATAGTCGTTTAATTGCTTTCATTCGTCATGTGCCAAACTTGTGCACAATATGATGAAAGCGAAATTAGGGCTTTAAAATTCACAATACCGCATGAGGTAATAAAAAGCCTGAGGCGTTTTTCGGTTCCCTGAACAATTTCTCCTCTGTCACGTTCACATTCTCATTCACTGCAATTTAATAAAAGACCTATCGAATTGGAAAATAAGAAACGAGTGTTTACTCATTTTCCATCTCAGGCTTTTTTACATTAATTATGGTGAGATCGTGATGAAGCCCGTCAAATACATCTGAAGACAATACAAATACTACTCTTCCTAACATTTTGCTACTCTAATCTATTCCACGGTAAAAAAAAACACGCACAAAAAAAAACAATCGCTTTTCTATGTAAACATGTTTACATGAAAAGCAGATCTAGACTGGAAAGGGTAATGAAATTCCAAAGGTACCGTTTTAAGTTATATATTCTAGATTGTCGTGAAATGAAGGACATGGCTGAATTGTGCACTTTTCTAGCAAAATATCTGGCTTCCACACGACTGTTAAGTAGATAATAAATCAAAGAGTTGTTTATTTTTTTCCTCTGGAAAGTTCGCCCGTGATTTTGGTTAATCTTATGACTCCAAATATTTCCTACAAGGCCATAAATCTTAATCACGAAGACATTCATTGTATGCTAGCTTGAACTCGACACGTTCGTTCACTGGAAGCCTCTTAAACGGAAATCACTTGTTACCATTCAGCTGTCTAAGTAGTGAAGCTTTTTACATGAATTAAATATACGCTAAACTGAGTACTTATATACAGCTTGTCTCAGCCATAAAAGATCATTTTCCTTTCATTTTATAACCAACCGATTCAATAAAAAATCGAAGAGAAGTTTCCAGTCGTTCGAAAGCAGAGATATTCTTCAACTGGAATTATAGTGCGAGAAAAGAAGAAAAGATTTGTGAACATACTGCCTGATCGCATTTGAGGCAACTTTTTGTCTCAGGAATTCATTACTTCATCAAGTTTGGCGTATCTTTTTCACAATGGAAAACAAAGCTTAAAATAGAAATTGTAAGCCTTCCATTATCTAGGCATTAGAAGGCCATGTTAACGAAGCGTAAAATGATCACGCACATTTTGTTTTCAGTTAAAGCTACAGTTTTAATGATTAATTTTGACCAGATTCATTTCATTGCTAAACAAATTTCAGAAGATAAATTGATAGTATGCATTGAATTCTCTGCAGAAGTGTTTTTCTGTAGATATATAGGCAATACCTGCTTTTGCTGACAAGTTTAACAAGTCTAAAGGGAGGTAAAGAAACACCCTTAAACAACTTATTTCACTTCGTTCAAAGCAGTTTTCAGTTGTTGGCCTTTTCTAAGGATCTCGAACTTGATTAAATTTTCCCATGCCATGTAACTTAACTATGGTGCCACAAACTAGAACACATTCTTACAAAGACTTGCCAATAACAATGATTCCTTCTCTAATAACCATATACTACATAATGGAATGATCGTGTGCGCTTTTCACAACATTAGTAATTTAAATTTAATAGCATATGATATACACATCGTCGACAGGTTATCGTCAAGGTTTTGAAATAATCTAATTTAAAAACTTCACGTCTGAAATATATCGTTCACCTTTATCGTGCAGACTTCTGTTTCAGTCTCGCTTGAACCTTCATGTAACGCACTGTGAAATGTATCTGCATCTACGTAAGTAGGAGACCTGACTTTCAAGAAGAGGAACAAAAATCTAACTTGAAACCAAGGAATTTACAGCAGAAGCCAAAGCCAACGCGAACAAGAAAAACATTTTTTGACAACACAGATCAGTGAATTGTGATCCATGGGTCGTGGGGTTTTTAAGCAAAATTTCTTGTCAATATTGACAGTCTGTACTCTACTGTAGCTTCAGTTGCCATATCAATGTGATAATTTATCATATTTTGCTGAGCTCGTTTCGTCTAGTCTTAATCAAACAAATGTACGCTTTGCCACTAATATTTGCTCTCACCTTACTATAGCATAATGACCCCCAGATAAGGGACCACTTTTAAAAAACAACGTGTAGGTCGGTACCATTTAAGTCGGCTACAAACTAATTGCCTTTCGATGTATAAAACTAGACTTAGATTGCAAGTATTTTGTTCACAACTGGCAAGTTTCTAGCTTTTACAACTGACATGATGTCTCCTTTGAATTAAGCTCGAGAGGCACTGGATCAGACAACTCCCATCTCTTTGAGACTCGTAAAGATTCTAACACATGTCTTTGATAATAATAGATTCTAACACATCACTTCACTCAAATAATATCACAGATGTACTCACACGACCTTTGACTTTTCCTTGACAAACCACGGTTGAATTACGAAGAACGCAGATTTTATCAAGTCTAAAGGTGAAAATATTATGTCTCCATCCTTTGGAATGCACCTAATCGAAATTCCTTAATACTCTAAATCACGCAAAACATAGCTTTAATTTTTATTTATCTAGCTTTAGTGGTCAAGATTCTCCAAAAGTCTTACATTCCCCTTATCGACCAGACGTGAAGGAAAAGTCAGCACTTTAGCTACCTGCACAAGTTTTATGTCTCATTTAAGCTTTGCTCTTCACAAAAAAGAAAATTAAACCTACTTTGAACCGCAACTTGCTCCTTAAATTTTGTAGATTTGAACTGGCTACAAGGTAACATCCCCACTAATTTACGCTTCTCAAACCCGAAATGTAATCTTGGTTTGATTCTTTCAAAATATTTTTCCCGGGACAATATCACTTATATAAGTTTTACGTAATATGGAAAACAAACATAAAAAATACGATCCACGGGCTTAAGTCACGAGAAAAGGTGCCAGGTTGCTAAGGAAACCAAAGTGCCTTTGACAACCTTAACCTCCTGCAGATCTAACGGATGTATTTGCCTCAGTATCTCCAATTTAGATCAGTTGTTGACTTGAAGTGGTTGAGTTGCCTCATATGGAAATCAATTCACTATTACCGAGACTAACTATACAAACATTTTATAAATATAGTAAATAGGGAACGAACCATTTTACGCATTCGAACGACAATACAGCATTTTGTTATTTTTATCAAAAATTGTGGACATAAACACGCATGTTTGTGCAATTCGTCGAATCAATTTATTGGTATTGCTATATATTATTCGTATAATTTAATACCCTTTTTATTAAATTTTATAGAGAGTACACTTAAAGAGAGTGCATTTTGAAAGGTGTATTTTTAAGGTGCTTAGGAATCAAATGGCATGGGTTTCGTAAAATCTCATGAGATACGAACCGCTCCATGATATCGGGGACATAATTAGATTTTAATGGTCTTCTTATGGCTCTTCACGGAATCCAATTTTCAGAAGCACGATATCATTACTACAATTTTGCTCAAAAAAGTGTCATGGGCTATGTATAGCCTAATTTGAGACATATGAACTCAGAGCCAAAGCAAACGACAATTTATCACAGTCACTTTTCAAGCACGTGCGTCATTCATTTGCTCCATAGAGGAGAGGATTGCCTGACGACTAAAAACAAACCCGCCAACGCATGTAACTATATTACATCGTGAGAAAAATAATAAACGTGCCTTAGTATTGGTGTGTTCCCATTGTTAAAACTGTAATAAAAACAACAAAAGCAAAAACAAGAGAAAAATTACTCATCCTTCTTTTTTCATTCAAGAATATTCGTCTTCGTGAATGATATGATATGACTTTCATATATTCTTAACCGAATATTCGTCTTTGTTAAAACTTATTTCACATATCCTAAAGTAACATCAATGAAAACTAAATTTTTGTCTGATTGCGGTGGCCGGGAAGCAAACTTACTATTAGAAATTATTTAGGGAATTCAGTATGGGTCTACTATGAACACACGACCAACTGGACAGTTAAGGTTTGTAGTTCACAGGCCTGGCACGGACTCTGCGAGGTCCCAACATATAACTGAACGAGTTTTAGTTAATTTTTCTTGTTTCTCTCTTCTCAGGGAACGTGTCTTTCTCGCAAATTGATCCTCACCGGATTATAAAGCAAGAAACAGACGAAAACTACAACATTACAACGCCGCCTCGCTCAGCCAGGAGCCCTTCGCCGAGAGGAAACAGGCGAAGTAAATCGCCCCAGGATAATGCATCACCCCACCAATTCACCGAGAAGTTCTCGCCAGACAACATGAAAAAAGAATATTCAGAAGATGTTTCCCCACCTGGGAGCGCGGCTCGTTCACCAAATTCTCCCTTTTTTGAGAGGAGGTCGCATTCTGAGGCCATTGTTGTCTCAAACACAACCTTACACGTACCGGGTTCTCGGTTGTTCCGACCGGACGAACGAATGAGAAATCTACATTTCGAAGCGCTAAAAAACCATCAAGGTTCGACTGTACATGCTGATGATCTCCCTTGCACCTCTAAGAGGGTTTACAGCCATTATGGTTCAGTTCCTACCATGGTTTCACGTTACCCGGAAAATTTTGTTGTTCCACGTTTTAGAGCACGAAGCAACGAGGATTTTTTGCGCCACGAGTGGCAACAGTCCTCTCTGTACGAGGTTAGTCATAGGGAGCCTTCCCTTTACAGAAACGGTGTTACAAAAGTCTTAAATGAAAGTGAACCCAGAAGCAAGAATACCTCCAATAGTTTCCAAGAAGAGCAAGGGCCTGAAGTGAATGCCTCATCGCCAAACGACCCCAAAACGTATCAAAACGGGGTCTCCGCAACTGGAATAAATTCAGAACAGGGCGCTGTCCACAGGAAGGACGAGGAGCCAGTGTGGAAGAAATACCAGTGGTACAGAGACCGGAAGCGACCACATTCTCAACAGACTAAACCGCGTAAATTAGAGCAAACCATTTTCATGCAGTACAACGAGATCCGCTGCAGAAGAGTACAAGAGGGAAAGGTAGTGAACGCAGGAAGAAGGAGATCGTCAGAGTCTTGGTTTCTCGGCAACGGTAAAGAAGTCAATCATTCGCATCCTTTGTCTCCTAAAAGGGCTCGCACTCACGAGTATTCTTACGGAGAGGCGCAGTCCAACATTGCCGTTGTCGAGCAACTACGTTCCCCACCTCCACAAACGCTGGGCCACGACAATTTGGAGCGCGCAAACAAATCGTACGTTCTGCCCAGGGGTAACCTTACTCACAACGTTGACGAAGACAATTTGGAGAGATTCAAGGACGCGGATGAAACCGATTTTAACAGGACAGGAAACTTTTATTGTTTCTGTGGTAGGGAAGGCTGCATTGAGCAACAAAGATCAGCTCGGCCTGTCATCTTCTGCCATGAAGAACTAAAAGCAAGAAACCAAGACTGCAGCACTAAGTTTAGGGAAGAGACAGGCGTTGAAATCGTTGATGGCGAAGAACGAATGTCCCCTGACCTTGGAGATGACACTTTCGAAGGGATCAGCAGCCAAATAGATAATGATAACACAGAGGTTCTTCCCGAGAAATTGCGTCGTTGTCCCCAAGACGTAGCAAAGATTCTGCGTCTAAACAGGATCGTAAAAGCCGTCACAAATGGCAGGAAAAGGGCTATTACTTCAGATTCGAAAAAAGAACTGCAAACAGTCATTAAAATGAAGAAACGCGAGAACAATCACAACTCGACCGCACATGGAGATGATGATGAAGTTACGTCTATAGGAAGACTCGAAAAGCGAATGGAAAATCTGAGCGATTCTGAACAAGAGAGCGACCAAAGATGCGACAGTGAGAATTTAGCGGAGAAAACGATAGAGGATGATGACGATGATGAAGAAGAAAGAAATCCTATTGGAAACTACATGGATTATTTTAGCTACCCTGAGAAAAAGCCTCAACAAATGAGAAACGAATTCGATAACAGTTCTGTCTTTCCGCAGTCTGTTTCCGATCAAGAACCGTTTCCAGTTCGCAAGCCAAACGGTGTTGAAGATATACCTGCCCGTGATGACGACGCCGCGGTATGTCAGGTAAACGGGCTTCTTTCACTGCCCGGATTCAAGGAAACAAAGTTTAACATCAGCCTAGGAGAGCTTAAAAGACGGATGAACCCGCCGGAGACACTAACACGAGTTGAAATGATATCATACGTGAGACAGGCCAAGTCGTCGGGGAGGGTTCTCCTGGACAAAAACAACATCGTCACCGCTAATCGTTCGCGCCCCACTATTCTTTCGCGCGTTTGCGAGGGTGAGGCGCAAGTCTTAGCCGAAGGAATACAGAAGATGAACAGGGAGTATCTACCGCTTACAGAGCTGGCTCGTAAAACGGTCGACGCTTATAAGGACGACGACTGTCAGGTAGAGAACTGTGAGGACTGCAGACTCAAACTCAGAAGAAGAATTGTGGATGTTGAAATAACAAGGTCAGTGTAACAAATCGTTGAGCAAATCGATCAAGTATTAACAGTAAGCATTTCTGAGACAGTTAGGGAATGTATTTAGATTTGGTTATTGGAATAGGGGAAAATGACATCGTATGGAGCAACCGTTTCAACAAAAAGATGATGTCTTGTTTGTATCACACTCATCGCTCACCTGGAAATCATCGCAGAGACGGTTCAGGGTGGACCGTCCTTTTGTAGAATGCTACTGGTATTTCAAGGGGTTAAATTTGAAACTGGAAACGTACGTTACATGATGGCAAGGCAAATCTTCAGCCAGTTGTACTGTATCATATATAAAAGAAACACCGTGTATAACATATCAGATATCAAACACTGCTCGAACGACGAGAATCGGGTACACTGCAAAATATCAAAAGATACTTGCGCTTTTCTATAAAGAGCTAAAATTTATTATTATTTAATTACCCGGTTTGAATAACCGCAAAGGGTCACCCTTTTAGTTCAAATGTTTGTCAGCGTTTACATGAAAAATTTTCAAGTCGGATCAAGCCTTTCTGTTGGGTAACCCTTATCGAAATGCAGGCTGGCTCGAGTAGAAGGGTTCAAAACTTCTTCAATTTATTCATGTTACACGGACTCAAAAGCCCAAAAGCTAAGCCGGAATGGCAAATCCACTCAAATAAGCACCTTTATTCCGCATTTCTTGCTTAAAATCATGTCCTTAATCATCAATTACTATCATTCCGTCCTACATATTCGAGTTTGTAATTTTCTTGTTTTTGAAATCTTTGTGGCCCATATCGTTTGTCTTTTTCGGCGTTAAAAATACTGACCTGGGTCTGTCTCAAAGCAACCACATATCGTACTAACAGCAACCCGGGATAGCGTAGAGTGTTTATTCTCAGAAATCTTTGCTATGATTCAATCTAGGATCGTGTCAAGGGTCCCTCCGTTTGATTCTCTCTTAGCTTGGTATGATTAGAGATGGCTTTTCCCGTTTTTCAGCCTCTATCATCCTTAAAAACGATAAATAATACAAATATACTGTGGCTAAACTCTGACATATTGATTTGCTTCTCTTGTTTAAACTTTTCTACAGAAACTCGCTGAAAGAGCTGCATAAGACCATCGAAGACAGTAGAAAGGACGATCTACTTCATACATTTGAGCTTGCGTCGCACACTTTTGGGGTGGCAAACATTCTCAACCATTTATCTCTTCTAGATGACTACTTTAAAACTTTGTTATTGACGCTACAAGACGAATGAAACGAAACGACCGCGCATAGAAATTAAACACTCACAATCTCCGAACTGAAACAACGAAGACTAGAAAAGTAGTTATACAACTCAAAATAAGAAATTTCATAAAACCTTCTGAGCAATTATCGCGGTGAGTGACAGGCCAAATAGCCAAATAATCGATTTGAATTCGATTTTTGATACTTAGAGGGAAAGAAATAATTAATTTTTTTTTCTATTGTGTTTTAAGAAAAAGTGAAAAAACAACTGATTTAAGTGTATTCAATGATTAAAAAAGAATATTTTGCTAAAAAAACTCATTTGAATTCATTCACTTTTCTTTCATCACTATCGAACTGAGTGCGTATCCTTTAAGGCACCCAGATATCTTACGGTACGCGGGAAAATTAAAATCCATGGTGGATATATACTTAAGCCCGTTTAAAAAAGAAAATGCCCTTAAACCAACTACCAACATACACGCACGTCAATTTTGCCAAAGCTAACATATGGTTCTCTAGGATTAGATATCGACCAAAAGAATGAATTTTTTCCCACACTTTTATTAGCAGTAGAACCGGTTGGAATTTTCTTTAATGAAAACAGTTTATTTCAAAGACGTTTGATGAATCAAGAGCTTCCTTTATTTCATTTCAGAAATCTTAGATTTTATTTCGTCAGGTTGCATCGTTTTTCTATCCACGGCTTCAACTTATGGGTGCCTTAAAAAATTTGCTCGATGTACAAACACCTTTTCCAGATACACTGAAAGGAGTATCCTTGTAGCATGCGATCCCTACATCGTTTGTACGAAGGTGAGGCTTAACTTGCTCCCAAACCTACAAAAAATATAAACAAACAAAAAAAAAATCAGATCCAATGAGTTAACTATAAAACTATCAAACCTGACTTGCAGGCCACAAATACCTTTCTCTTTGGATTCAACTGCTTGTCTGGTTCCCCTGGAAAGCCATCAAATGTGACCCTGTCGCCAGGCACGCTGCCCTCGGGCGCATTCAGTAGTTCAAACGACGATCTGTCATCGGGACTCGCACACATCACCATGGCTTGCGACGTGATACCGCGCATTCTAAAATCACAAACAACATCGCAGAATAATAGATTTACCTTCCAATGTAGGTTTGATTTCGTCTGACATCTGATCAAGTAATTGGTTCCCTTAATTTATTAAGCCAATCAATTATGCAAAGGCAAACTCAGACATTCTGGATTGGTTTTGACAATTTATCAAAAGTGTTGTTGTTGTCCGTTGGATATTTCATGTTTCACCAATCGTTATTTCATCATTTCCATGCAGCATTGTGTTCGATATACGAACTCACTTACTTTACTGGCTTAAGGTTGCACATCACGATTACAACACGATCCTAAAAGAGCAAAAACGGAGAAATTAGACTTCACCCCAGACATGCGTCTTTGTATCAGCAACTATATGTTCTCCCAGGTACTACAGGTGCTCTCTCGGACTGAAAGCTATTATGCAGTGCAGGTAACGAAAGTGATTTTATCTTAAGATAGCGACAGTGTGAAAACCAAATTGAGCATGACTCACGCCATAATTTAAGCCATTTGAAGCTTTCAAATGGAGCTGTTAGTTTTGAATGCGTACTTGGAAGTCTTCCCCTTACCCAGCCATCCTCTTTTTATATTGCAATTTACAGTACCATCATGTCTTCTCAAGTTTTTTTTATAGTGTTCTTCTATATCATTTCAGTTTTTAAGTGGCTATGCCAAGCTTAGAACACCTTGAAAATTTTTGCCGATATTAATGAAGTTCATTGTTTGTAATCCACGTCAATCTTTCCTTGTATTAACCATCATCGTTCCTTTTGTCCTCCTTCTTCGAATTTTTGTTTTCGTGAGGTACCGAAAATATTGAAAAAAAAATCCTCTCAGGAAAACCACTTAACAATTGGTTCATACGTCAGCGTGCGTTCATCGAGATATGAAGCACGCGGGAAGTTTGGAGAGCACGAAAGATGCGTAAGAGTTGCTCGAGGCGTAGCCGAGAGCAACTCTAGCTTCTTGAGTAATATGAAGCACACTCGCGCAATTGAATTTGATGAGACAAATTTACTAGCCATGTTATAATTCCTCTTAGAAGCCTTACACATTAAACAGTTTAGTTGGTTTTGACTGATCTGCACACTGAGCAGCACCAATCTTTTCTGATAATAGCTACACGATGAGCTGAATGTTGTGTGCACTGTGATTGGTCGTTGCGCATGGTCTATAGGAGTACACAAATATGGCTTTTACTGCCTCATCCAACATGGCGCACAGGCAACTTTGTTTGTGTGTTTGTTTGCTTGGTTTTTTCTGTTAAATGTATAAAAAATAATCTAATTTTCGGGGTTTCCATTCTGTTAAAGATCGCAAAAATCGTCTGTTCATGAGACATTCCTCACACCACATTTCGACGTCATATGTGATCTACAACTGACCACGGCGCATCCCTACTGCGTACATTACCTGAAGTTCCTCTAGAGGCACTGATCCTACAAGGCCACTGCAAACTGTTCGGGGACTTTCTTCTCCAACATCAACTGAGAAAAAAAAAAAGTACACCAGAACAAATGTTAAACCAAGGGTTTCATTAAAAGCTGGCCTACCGCTGTCCGTTTAGCCTGCTCGCAGGCTCTCGTGTTTGGGTTTCGCCTTACGGCACCTTTTCGGGCACAGCCGCCTATCACACGATCGGCAGCCGAAACTGAAAAAAGGTATTGAAACCCCTTGTTCAACGCGATACATTTTCAGCAAAACTTCGTCAAAAAGAAAAAGCGGGTCAGAAATCGGGGGAGCCACTTTTGGTAGCCGTCAGCCGGCACGCAGGAAGACACTGACTACTTACTTTCTTCCACAAACAGTGTATCAGCATCAGGGTGACGTTTGGCGGACACTATTTTACCCACACGGAAGTCAATACGAGACACATCAGGTTCCACAGTGTTGGCCGCTTCTGAATTCAAACATGGGAAAAAGAACTTCACACCAATAACCTCAAGACAACAATTACTCATAGTTAAAAACTAAATTGCAGAATACCCAAAACTACATTAAAATGAAAAAATTGTCACGAAAATCTGGAACATTTCTTAAAACTGAAATTAACACAAAATAAGTAATTTAGTCTGTAAGTCCATTTCAGGAGCTTGCCAAGTGTAAGAACAAGTTCGACTGCCTCGTTAACCCTTTGATCCCGAAGAGTAACCAGCATCTAAATTCTCCTCAAAATATCGCCCCTGAGACACACATTACGGTCAGGAGAATAAAGGAAATGATCACCAACTAAGGAAGCTTTGGTCTGTTAAACAAATTCTACTTGTCAGCACCAAGCTAGGGAAATGTATAGAGAACAGTATGGATAATATGCTTACTGATGTTACCCTTGCTCTACGTTAATCACGAATTAAAACATCCAAACTAGCTCTCTTTTACGTCAAGGTGTTTGCTTGAAGCATATGGTTAATGTACTCAAGTATTTCAGGACTCTTCGTTATCTTTGAATTATTCTTCTGATAATACCAATAAAATGACACCAAATAGCCAAGTTCTCAGTAAAACTTTGTCTGAAATGTTTCATGTTTTGCTTAATCGAATGAAAAGAAACGACCCGCAATAAATTAAACAAATGTATTTGGCAGAGTCTTTAAAAGAAAAAAACACTACTGGTCAAGCAATTTCGACTGAATGTTGAAAAAAAATCCAGATTTGCATTGCTTTTGCTTTAAGTTTCTTTGGAATTGATCCCAAAACTTGTGTTACTCAGTCAGTCGCATTTCTCTGCGTTCTAGGTACACTGGTCTGCTTGTTTTCACTTTAAGTGCACCCCTTACTACTCTTTCCTTTGCACTAAGGGGGCCTTTGTTACAACTATGTGTTTGATTGAACCAAACTCATCAAGGGCACTCTACAAATAAATTCCAATTGCAAAGATAACACTAAAATAATTTTTGAAACAGAAATAAAAAACAAAAGTACATAGAGCATTTAGGCTATAAACATGTACATCTACTTTCTTTTAGCACCTTCTACAGCTTTTGGTTTCTCCTTTCCTTTTTTCTCTGCTTTCTCTTTCTTCTGTTTCTTTTCCATTGGCTTCTCTTCTTTTGCTTTTTCAGGTCTCACTTCTGCTTGTTCAGCGACAAGTGCTTCAACTTTTTCTTGTTCAATGAAAGACGTGCCTTGCGCCTTACCTGGGAGAATAACTTGTTTCACTGAAAAAAAAAAAAAGCCAGCATGGCCAATTTCAATTCAGTGATAGAACAGTTTCAAAAGAAAAAATGCAAAACATGCATAGGAAACTCTGAACTTACATCCATTCCTCACTTCCCAATATTCCAGCTCTGCTTTAAGTTTGTCAACTTCCTGCCTCAGGTGCTCATTCTCTTGTTTGAGAGCTGAAATATCCTTCACAAAAAAGCAGCAGAGCTTTAGAAAAGAATCTCAAACTGGTGGGCACATGGTATTAGGACTCCATTGCAAAAAGTATAAAAAAAAAAAGCTCCATAGTCTAATATCAAAATAATATAAACAGCTCTGCTGCATTAAAAAGACATATTGTTTTTTAAACACAAACAAAAATCATGACATTAAAAACTGGCTCAGTCCAGTTTAATACAGGGGGAGGTTTTGATCCTAGTATTAGTTTTTGAGCAAAGTTTGAGTTATTTTAGCAACTGTTCAAGAAGTGCACACTGTGTTTGTGTTGATTTCCAATCCTAATCAGTTTATTGGTCCTAAGATGGCTGTTCTTTCTTGCAAAATCACTTTCTTTTTATGGGTTATATTGCTGATGTACAGTGGTACAAAAATCACCATTTGACTCTAATTATTCATCACACAAATTATTCTATCAGCTGACCTTACTTCCCAATGAATTCGTCTTCTTCTCTAAAAGGGAATTAAAATGCAGAGGTAGTTTTAGAAAACAATTTCAAGTAAAAATCTGGTGTTCTTGATATGATGACCCAAAGCTTTCAGATAAACATAGGCTACATTAGATTGTTTGCTTCTGCATTAATTAATTGTGATAGGCTATTTATCATGAATAAAATATTTGTTAAATATAGGAGTCTCTAATTTGCTCCCATGTTACATTGGGGTACTAGTACCTAGTAAACCTGCTTTTAACTACTTAACCTCTTGGAGTGATGAGTATTTCATTTCTAACAGCAGTATCACCCCTTAATCAAACACTAACGTCATGAGAGTAAAGAAAATTAGCATAGTTGCTCCAGTGATTATAGAGACGCACATGCTCTGATTGGTTGAGGATTGCATCATATATTGCTAATATAGCAACCTCATACCAGGTGATTATAGCAGATGTGATAAATATTAAAATGGCTGCCTTGTATTTTGTCAGTGTTCTGAGGAAGTGATGAACCTAATAATCAAGAAAATTCAATTCCACAGAGCACAAAAGATGCTATTAAGTTTGGTGTAACACTTTTTAACAGAAAGATAAGACGTTTTTGGTGATTGAATTAAATGAACCTACCCACTTCAAGGGAAACTGACTTTTTATCCAGATACGAGTTATCAAAACAATTGAAACAGAATGGTTTCAGAATGGATTTCTATTCAAGAATTTCTGAAGTTCTTTCACTTGTACTGAGCAACAAATAAGTTAAACTTAAATTTAACATAGAAAATTTGATACTGTCAGAAAAATATAATCTCTGTCATTTTTTTTTTTTTTTTTGGTGTGTAAAGTGTCCTCTTTATCTCCTCCGAATCAAAGGCCTTTGCTAAATTAAATCTGGGAATTTGCCCTGTGGAATGCCATTTCACAGGATGGGGGGATGTTTCAAATTTCCCCTATGGGTACACAGGCAAATTTAAAATAGATTTTTGACCAATCAGACAATCAGACAATCATGTTGTGTCTAAGTTATGCCATAATATTGAACACTCCCCTCAACTTTGTCTTGGGAATTACTGAACAATAATCACTTCACCTTTGGTGAGTAATTGTTAATTTCATCCCAAACTCAAGAAGCTCTTGATTGTTAGAACATAGGAAATGCATCGAAAACAGCATGGATAACTTGCTAACTGATGTTAAGGCATAAAGGGTTAATATTTGGCAAAACGAAAGTAGGGTAATAATACATTAACACTAATTGTGACACAAGACTATCCTTCCAACAAGGAAAAATGCAATAGAAATGAAGCTGAGGATAAAATTACAAAAGTACGAACAAAATTTAAATTTTTTAATGAATGAAGTTTCATAAATTCATTAGATACACAGTAAACAAAAAACATAGGCATATGTAGCATGCAAGAGTTATTTTTTTAGCTGGGCAGGTTGAGATGGGACAGTTAGTTGCCTCAAAAATATAGCTCCAGGTAATTTTTCCAAGAAAAGCAAACTGAAACTCTGTTTAGTAGACCCTAACCAAAGTTATATAGCAATCTTGAATAATAAATGATTGGGTATGTTCTGATAGGACTTTGGATGTTGTTTTCATGGTATGTGATGGAATACAAGTTGTTTGGTAGGTGCGGAAAAAACATGTTTTCACTTAAAAATTATACAAAAAGGTTAAATGTTAACCTTTCACATTCCGACAGATCTCAACCTCAATCGAGGAGGCTCTTGCAAAGGCCACAAACCATTATACTTATCAAATGAACCCAAAGTTTCTGGATAATCTCATTCTTTGTGTACAGCCCCCTTATTCAATGATATCATTTGCACAAAAACAATACCCAAATGCTGTAATTGGCGTAAGATATCCAAATGCTGTAATATGATTGGTGTGAGATACATACCCTAATGAGGCAATTTGATTGGTGCAAGATACATACCCTAATGTGGAAATCTGATTGGTGTGAGATATAAACCCAAATGCAGTGATCTAGTTGGTGTGAGCAACATATCACTCTACACGCTCACATAGTTTTTTTCTTTTTGTTATAAAAATAACTCAAAAATGAGTTAAATACTTAATCCTGTAACTTCAAGCATCTGATAATTTGTTCTCCCTTTTCCCTGCCTCAGTTTCCTTAGAAAGTAGTACACAGGATTTGGTGCTACATCCAGAAAACATCATCTGTCTGATATTTTGTCTTTTCTCGTCACCACTTAACTTGATATTTTAGAAATTGAGAGTAGAAGTTACATTTCTCTTTGGTTACTTCTGGATGTTAAAAGTTAAAGGGCAACATGACAACATAACAGTTCTGAATTAAAGTTCTGTGCATAATCTCTATAATGTTAGTCAACCCACATGAAGGTTACACTAGTATCGGAATCTTCAAAATGAGTTATCAGAATCTCTAACCTGTTGCTTTCTGTAAAAAGTACAACTGAGATTTCAACAGGGAAATGGTATCTTCAGCTTCCACTGCACGTTTTTCAAGTCGCTCTACAACTTCTCCACCCGTATGCATCATAATTCTCGACTGAAAAATATGCCTCAAACTGTTACTCCTGAAGAAAATGCCCTTATTTCCACACCAACAATTAAGCCCTCGAAGCATTTACTTCCTCGAGGAGATTAAAAATTGAAACAGGATGGTTCTCAGCGGCTATCACTTAGCTTCATATATGAGACATGTTACGACGCACAAGCTTGATCCCATTCTCCTGTTTATTTCTTGTTGCCAGAAAGGAACGCCTCGTTGAAAACAGTTTGAAAACCCGCGGAATTTTGTGCTAAATTTCAAGCAAGTGTAAGCTTAGATTTTTTGATAGACATGGCAGATATTTTGAAATTTATGACTTTAGTGGGTAAACTTAAAACTACTAAACGTACTGGTTGGGTATACCGCGGGGTGAAATCACCAGAGAGCGTTTCAGATCACATGTACCGAATGGCTGTGATGAGTTTTCTCTTGAACAGTCGTGAAGAAGGTTCAAACATCAATCGAGATCATTGTATTAAACTAGCGCTGGTTCATGACATGGCAGAGTGCATCGTTGGCGATATTACACCATTCGATGGAGTGAGCAAGGAAGAGAAACACAAGCTTGAGAAGGAAACTATGGAGCATTTATCGAGTTTGGTTGGGGAAGAAGCAGGGAAGGAATTTCTGCTATTATGGAAGGAATACGAAGCCCAGGAGACTGAGGAGGCCAGATTTGTGAAAGATTTGGATCGATTTGAGATGATTTTACAAGCTCATGAGTATGAAGAAAGCGAAGGGAAGACAGGAACTGGATGGCTTCAAGAATTCTTTGATTGCACTAAAGATAAATTCCAGCATGCCATCGTGAAAGAGTGGGTGGAACAGCTTAATCGATTAAGGCACCAGCCAAAAGACTAAAATAAAGTTATCATATTCTTTAGGTAACATATCTTGTGATAATCTGGTAATGTACAGGGTGGTAGTTAGGTTATGGTTTAGGGTGTGAATGAAAAGGCTGAGAATGGTATAGGGGAGGTGACTGACCCACATAAGAGATAGGTTTCGATGTCAGATCTTTTGAAAACAACACTTACAGTGTACCATGATGTTTGTGTTGGACAAGCCTTAACTAAATTGTTCTGTGGCTAATAAAGGCTGCAAGCCAAGCTTTTTTGGTTATAAGTGAACCAAATTTCCAGGATTGACTGAAGGGATATACACTTGCAGGTATACCCAGGAGAAGGTAGCCTTCAGCATGAACAGCATACTCTAATTGATGTTGGCCAAGTTTCTACTGAGGGGTGGTATTAAATCAATAGAGATACAGCATACCACATAAGTCCTTTTCAATGTAGCAGAAAGAATAAAGACAAATACATAGAACCCTACTTTAACCATCTTTGTCCAAGATGATTAAAGGAAAAATGCAGAGTAAAGAAAGCAAAGAATTCAAAAACTAATCTGAAAGTAAAATAATTTTATTTGAAGTAATCCACTGAAAATAATCACAACTATATGGAATAACATTTTTGGTCCTATCCTCCACCCATTCTACATTAACTGAAGCCATTGACCATACCCACAGAAGGTGAGCCAATTTCAGGACAGCCCTGCTTCTTGGCAAGGCTTAAGAAGAAACATTCCCCAAGCACTACTCACTAGTAGTAAATGCCCAATAAAATGTAGTGTAATACAGGCCTGGGGCAAATTTTAAGCAAATGACATCATCTTGTTTATGGTGAAATAAATATTCCTAACAAACCTACAATTCCCTGCCCATCACCAACAATCAAGTGATGACCTGTGATTTACCATCTAGAAATCCCTCACCTCAGTTCCTCTGGGTTATCATTGCTACTCAAAAAAAAAATTTCAAAACTTATCTGGTAAAATCTTAAATGATGACCAAGAAAAAGTTAAATAAAGTTAGTAACAGTACAAGACTTGGTTCTTGTTTACAATTGAATAATAATAATAGTAATAATAATGATAATAATAATAATAATAATAATGATAATAATAATAAACTGTCCTCAAGCTGTCCAAGCAGAAAAATATAAAGATAAAATTTTCGGATTTTTTTTAGCACTTCTTTGCAAAGAAGGGCAAATTCTATGGTATTACAGCTTTTTCCTGATAATACAAAATTTTGCGTCATTATTAATTATATAAAAATCATATTCTAAATAACTTAGTAGGTTTCCATGCAGCAGCACAGTATTTTGAGTTTCTACTTTTCAAGTCAATGCTCTTTTTTTTTTTTATCTGTTCTTTGAAACAATAAGTATCAGAGTCCTAAATAGTTTCAAATACAGTATAATATCTATTTCCACCTCTTTCCACACTGTCCATTGAAGCTAATTTCCAGGAACAATACCCATGCACATTGTAAAAGCTTTGCAAGAACATTGTTCAAATATTGCAGAGCAAAAAATTGACAATCTTAAAGTACACCATTATGTACATGGAAAGTAGACTGATGTTTCCTGGAGCATGACTGATGACCTGTTATCCTTAAAAGTAAACCTTACTTCTCTGAATGATGAGATTTAACGACTCAAAAATAAGCTCTTCCTGTACATATAAGAAAGTAATGATGATAAAAGAACACTTCATCAAAAGTTAAGCAGGGGTAATTTGCTGGGTGCCACACATAAAATTATCAAGCTCTGTTTCACTCCTACACTAAGTAACATGAATGCCAGCAAAAGCAACTAACTACAAGCAAGACATTCTGAAACTATCCTCAAACTGGCAAGAAAGAACATGACAAATAAGTATATGTTTCACAAATATAAGTGTGGACTATACAGAGTTCAGAATTGTGCTGTTACAAAAACCCCAAGAAGACCCTCAATTTTTCATGTACTTGCCAAAACTTTTGAAGTGTGGAAGCTGCAGAGGTGGAGTGCTACTTTTTTTTTTTCACAAACTCCTCCCTGTTGTAAATATTGATCTATAAAACAAACCTATGAAGTTAACATACAATGTCTTACAGGATGATCACAAAATTGGATCAGAATTAAAAGCATTAAGAACATGACATAATCTACATAAATGTAAAATAGTGGTCTATCATTGGGGAAGAGAAGAATACATTCCTCTTACTAACTAACCAAGTTTGAGGTTTACATTGTAACTTACAGTACCGACCAAGAAAACAAGGCTAGCAAGATATTTACTTTTTCTCTGGTTGCAAATAGAAGGGGAAAATTTCAAAGCAAACAAACTCTTCAATTTAGTAGGATGTGCAGTGAAAGAGGGCCTGGTACTTAGGCCAGTTACAGTATATGTACTAATACTATAAGAATAGTGAATATGATTCTTAAATCAAGCAGTCTCAGTTGTAGACTCTCTTACACAGTAAGTAAGGCAAATTAAGTTAACACACACATGAAAGTTTCTCTGTGCTGGAAATCCAGAGATAACTACAGCAGTAAACGTTCTAACCAGTCAGCTTAGAGAACAAGCTGCAGTAAGAGACCTGTTTTGAATATCCTACTGGTAAAAAAATAAATATTAATTTAAGTAAGTTAGGGTCTAACACTTTAATTACTTAAATAAGTTGAATAGTTAGGGGTTGCGCTCCATTTCCTCCTTTTTTCCACTTTCCACTGACTGCACATGTAAAATATGAGATTCTAGGGCTTGAATCACCTTCTTTTGGGCATTGTATTTTTCTTCCAAACTCTAAGCAATGAGTAATAAAAGTAAGCAAAATGTAAGGTCAAATAAAAAGTGACTACATGTACATAATTTGAAGGTGTGAACACTTTTTGGTCCCAAGCTCATGACAGATCTCTTAAAGTTAACTAACTCTTTAACTCCCAGAAGTGATTAAAATGAAACTTTTTCCTATAATATCCACAAACCAACCCAATCAATCAAGAAAAGAAAGTGAATTTTTTAGTGTGATTGTTTAACAAGCTCAAAGATCTACTCATATGAGTATTGTGTGGCTTTTCAAAGATGCATTAAGACAAAGGGTTGGATAAGCAAATGGACCATGTTACATGACCAGAGTTTTGGAAAGCTCAAGGCTAACCTCCTACAGTACGTGTACGTCTCGTTATGAATCCTGTAAAACAAAGAACAACAGGAGAAACTGCAAACAGATGCAAACAGATATTATGGACAACCTTCCAAAATTTCCATCTCAATTAAAGTTACTACCCATTTGAAAATTATTGTGTAGGAATCAACTTTGAATTTGAATCTTGTTGCTACTTACATCATTTGTTCATAGCAAGTAATCTTCAGCTGAACTATCATAATTACAACATCGCTGATTAATTATAATAAATCTAATGTAAATAAATGTACGGCCACAAAACAATTACAAAAAACAACAACAACAATGACAGAACCATTCTCAAAACGATCACCTCTATTTTTCCATTGTAAGTTCCTTTCAACAGTTCAGAGAATTTCTTTAATTCTCTGATTTCGATATCCTGCAAAGATGGAGATCAAAACTGTATTGACCAAGTGTCAGAAATAAAAACAAACAAACAAAAAGAGAGAGAACATTAAGATAATTGCTGATCTATTATCCAATGCCAAAGACACTTGACAGCTGAAACTGACTAGTTTCTAAATTTACATGTGTATCTTACTGTACTTCCTTCATTCTTTATGAATGCCTCTACATATAATGTACATTGGACAAAAACAAAAAAAACCTCAGGGATCCAAACGTCTATTAAATAGATAAAAAAATTAAGTGACTATGTTGGAGAAGAATGACAACTTATTCCTTTCTTTAACTTCCTGTACCCATTTTCACTGTAGGTTGACAAAAACGTTAGGCACAACATATCTGAGTACCTTGCTATTAGTAAGTGATTCTATATCTGCAAGTTTTGCATTCAGAGCTTCAAGTTCAGCTTTCTGCCTTTTCACTGTCTGTTTGGCAGCTGAAAGTAAACATACATATAAGATGCAAAAACCTTTGGATCAGGATTCAAGTAGAGGTACCTTACCAATAGTCTAAAAAAATTTTCAAATACTGTAATTAATAACTCAATCTTTTGTGCCCCATAATTAGTTTGCATATTCTACTCATTTCTTATAGTGCTGACAAGGAGAATTTGTTTAACAATCATGATTTTCTCTCTTTTTTCAGTTGGCAACCATTTTGTTTAATCTCATGACCTTCATGTTTGATTTAGGGATGCCTTAATGATCTAGCTGTTGAGTAAAAACTCTAAACATCTTGTCATTTAACTAACCCCCAATTATCATCAGATGTCTCAAGTCCAAAAATAACTGTCTTTGCACAGTACCACGCTATCAGTATCAGAGCTCTAAAAAACAGTTTTCACATCTTTACCTCCTAGTTCCCTGTGACAACTATGTAACTGCATGCTGCTTTCCGGATTCTGTCCCTCAAGCAGACTAAGTTTCTTAATTGTATCTTTCTGTTGTTGATTTAATTCTCCCATGATCAGGTGTTCCTTGACAAGGTGATCCATCTGAACATGCAGCAAAGAAAATCAGGGGTAAGTTTCTAAAGAAACTGTGGTGCTGCAGGTAATTTAGTGTTAACAACTGAGTTGAAAACATAAATTGGCCACCATAAAGAGTTAAAAAAAGCTGACGTTTCAAGCATTAGCCCTTCTATCGTAGAAGGGCAATACAATTTAGATAATTAACAAAAACAATAAATTCAAATTAAAAGCAAGGACGTTTTGAAAAACAGAAACATATCATCCCAGTACTCATTTCATCTTTCCAAAGCAGAATTTTAAACACAGTTAATAATCAGTTTAAAGCACTGCAAACAAGGATACTAAAATGATTTCAAAGAAATGTCATTCAAAATTTATGATGCAAAACATCATCATTAGCAATGCAAAGGTGATAAAAAAAATAAACCAGCAACAGATGGCAACAGTTAAAGGTGTCATGTTAAATACATTTGCTGTACCTGATCTGATAGCCTGTCTTTTTCTGCTAAGCATGTTTTCAGATGATCTAACTCTTTTTCCAATGTGAATATTCTAGCTCTTGCCTGGTTAACCTCCTGAAATTAAATAACACTCTTTGTCAACAATAGCAACAAGTGTATGTATATCATACATAACATACAATTAATGGCAAAGAGTCATTATGACAGGGCTAATTGACTTCTAAGATTCAGGAAAGTGGTCACTTTGAAGAGACAGTCCCTTTAGAGAGGCCATCCTTTACTGATGCGCTGCTCTACCCACTGTGCTGCCACTGGGGCAAAAAAATGTATCTCTTCCCATGCTGAGGTCTACTTTATTCACACCAATAATGGGGTAACTAGTAAAATTAGTATCTGAGGATCCAGAAATAAATGTCAGGGAAAACAAACTTTCCACTATGCTTGCATAATGAAGAGTTTGTGCGGCATTTAGAAAGAAATCTCCTTTGCCAAGTTAATGAGTTAGTCTTGACCCAAAGTCTTATCTCTTACATTCCCTGTTTGACTAGTGTCACAGTGGTGTTTTCGCTTTCCTTTTCCTATATACCTCTGTACCTTCAACGAGTCCAAGAAATCAATAAAAACTTTAGCCATAACATGAACAAGCTGGCTCCAAGAGCCCTTTGATTTTTGTTGCATTCATATGCAAGCACAAGAAACATTTAAATTTAACATGATCACCACTTACAGTTTGCTTTGTATCAAAATCTTTCTGCTGCACTTCAAGCTTCTCAAGGAGTTCCCTTTGCATGTTTTTCAACTGAGTATTCTCTTTCGACAAATCACTAAAAGGCACAAAGTAAAGAAAACATGTTTATGTTACATGAGAAATAGTCAGAGCCACTCCCAATCCTGGCTGCTGCATAAGAAGGATAAATAACAGAATAGCATATTATACTCTTCTGTTATCACATGGATGCTTCTAGTTAAGCATCCTTTCTTGCTCTTTCTGTGTTTTCCTCATCTAGACTGCCACCATTTGTTTACCATTTTGTATCCAACTATTTTGTTAACCATCAAACTCCCAAATTCTCCAAACTAACATAATGAGAATCATTTGGCAGACAGTAAGGAGAATTACTTATGAGATCTTGGGAGTTGAAGGGTTAAAGTAATTCTAGGTCTTGTCTCATGTCAGAACTTTTTTCCTACAGAAACGGCTAACATCTCACCTCAGCTGCATCCGTTGTTGTTGATCCCATGCAGAAGTGATTCCTTTAAATTTCCTGCTTGTTGCAAAGGAAATAAAATGTTTTGGACATAAATCTCTAAAACAAAAATACTACTAGAGACATTATGGGGGTTTACAACTGAAAGTAATCACCAGATATATGTAACAAGATACTTTGATTTCATCAGCTGTGCTGTTGATGTGAATAAACCACTGCAAAGAGATTCTAGAATCTCTTTATGGTGGCCAATACATATTATCAACTCAGTTGATAAAACCTGATTATCTTGAAATACACCTTTTGACCCAGCACCAGTTTCTTTAAGAGACTAACCCCCTAGATGCATGTATGTAACTACAACCAACTTCATGCCAAACCTGTTCTCTTCCACTTTATTATTGAGTGCATCAGTAAGTTCCCTCATTTTATCCTCCTGTAGTCTCAGCTGATCTTTCTACAATTATATCACAAAAACGAGTACAAGTAAATTACATGTTCAATATAGGTGCACCATTTCCCTTCAGTTAGTGGGCCCAGGCCAGACAGTCAACAACTTCCATCAAACATTAGGATGGAGGGGCAAGGATAACTCTCAAAACTGCATTTAAATGACTTCCCCTGTTTCATCCAGATCACACATTTTCATTCAACATTTTTTTTTTCACCAGCAGAGTACCTTCCACAAAGGTAGTAAATACAAAAGCTACATGAACTTAGTTTCAAGACCAAAGTTTGCTTCCATTGAATGTAGGTGTCCCCAGAAAAGTGGTGAATGTAGAGAGATGAGCGTAGGTGTCCCCAGAAAATAGGTGTAGCAAAGAGAGGCTCCACTGAGGGTCTGGACACAGTAGTTCGAAGGGTGGATAACATAATCCACTGGATAAATCTCTATTCAGTAGATTGCCAAGTATGTTTTGTTAACACTTATCTACTGGATAGCAATTTATCTATTGGATAGCATTATCTGCCCTTTATACAACTGGACCCTATATTTTGAGAAAAAGGGAAGATCAAAAACATACCGTGGCCTGAAGTTCTTCCTGATACTGTACAGCCTTGAGTGTCTTGCCTACAAGTCTCCTGTTACGGATAGCATGAAGATCACACTTGTGTCGCTCAAACAATAGCTGATTATGAAGCAACTTAACTTGTCCTCTCAAAATCTCTACTTCATCTACTGGAGGATCACCTGCAAATTTAAAAACAATATCACTGTAGCCATGGTAGCAATAAAAGGTATAAGCCATCATTGGTTATTTCTGTTGGGAATGAATTAATTCACAATTAACCAGAGGAAGTGTTAATCTGGGAAGTCACTGATCACTAAACCAGAAATGTAAAATCAGGTTATACCTCCAAAATGGGTCCAAACTGTACCAGCTTGATTGACAAGAGGAATCCTGTATAATAATTACAAAATTATCAACTGACCTCAAAGTTAAAATTATATCAAAAATCCTTTTAGTTTTGCTATGCCTGAAAGTGACTGGCTACAGATACTTTGGTGACCTTAAGACAAAGAAATGCAAGGCTTCCATGAAACCAATCGTATTTTTCCTCACAGTTTTCTACACTGTTTTCTCTTTGAGTTGTCTCACCTATAGTTATCATAAAATCTATCAACTTGATTAACTACTATGGATACCAATACCTTGGTTATGGCATTATCACATTCAGCCAGAGAGTGTTCTTGACAGGAGGGGTGTTGGAGGAAGTGGGAGTAACACTGGAATGGGAGGAGGTTTTTAAAAATCCAGTACAAGATGGGAAAATTTATGATAGGAGTTTCATGGCAAGAAAACAATCAGAACAAAACGTAAGTAGAGATGGACATATTCTTACCTTGTGAGTTCACCATTGTGTATGCCCTTGCCTGTTTTCAGGTAATTGTCAAGAATCTCAACTGGCGTTATACAATGCATCTGTGGTTGTGTTCCCAAGTCCTCTCTGTCAGCCATAGTACTGTTAACAGTCTGCTCCTGTTCATTTCTAAACAATGGCAACAGCTGTGGAAAAGCTGCAATCAAGTCCCATGCTTGCAATGGAAGGTGGTCCTGCAGCCCAGCTTGAATTAGAGCGTGTGGTTTGGAAACATTTAAGGAGCATTCATCCCACTTCAGGCTTGTTTCATTTTCGTCCACTTCTCCCAACTTTGTTTGCTCTTGGTGTACATGTAAATCAGGTACAGTCACTAAAGACTTGCTTGCTTCTTCACTCATTGATGAAACATTAGGGACAGCATGAGCATATGATATATCACTACTCTCTGTGTCCTGAACTTCTATACAAGAACAAACATTTGTGGATTCATTGGTTTCGTTAATGGGTGTGTTTGATAATGTTTCTGCATCTAAAGATCGACCACATACAGGGGTTAATGCATCTTCCATAACATCATTACACATAGCATCCTTCCATGACTCAACCGTGTCAAGTTTTCTTGCATCTGGATCACAATCCTTTTGGTCATTAGAGTCTCTAAATTCCTCCTTAGGAGAAATAATTGATAATTGAAATTGTTCTGTACTTAAAGTCAAGGGATCCACATTAAACACCTCTTCATGTACTTCATCAGCATTTGGAGAAGTCAATAAATTTTGTCTATCAGATAGAGCTGCATCAAAGTTGTCTTTCTCACATTTTGTTGAATTCCCTGGCATTGATGTCTGTTGTTCCCCAATGGCTGCAGGGGCTGAATCATAACTTTGCTCAGCTAACAATGATATTAAAGTTCTGGTTAATGGCCCCTCTTGACTAGCAGCCTTCCCACCTTTAACTGAATTCCCCTTTCCATTGTTCATCCCCCCTGAAGTCACAAACTTTCCTCTACTGCCAGCAGTCACTGAAGGTGAGCTTGAATATCCTTGTAAGTCGTCCCCAAGAGATGTTGTCGGGGATTGCCCCGGGGTGTAAACTATTCCTGGGGTACTGCAGTGAGACTGGATAGGTATGGATGCTACTAGATCGGGATAGCTTGTTGAAGGCGACATCTGAGATGATGGTGGGGTGTTTAACCCACAAACATCAGAAGGACTCCAGCCAGGAATTGCATTTAACTCAATCCTGTCGGTAGCAATAATTGGCAAACTTTCAGACCCAGTGCCACTGTCACCACTTTGTAGAGATTTGCCAGTCTGTGTTGCAGAGTCTGACATACGACGTTCTTTTAATCTGCTTGGTTCAGGTCCTTGGCTATCACCTGATGTTGTCAATACAGAGCTGATGGATTTGTCCGCAAAAAGGTCTTGGTGACTATGCTTGAAAGTCCATGACGACATTAAACTTCCCTTCTCTTGCATTCTGTCTACTGGGTCCAGTGACAGCTTCATGCATTCTATCACAATATCGTGAGGCTCTTTTTGTCGCCACCTGGATCACATGGAAAATATGGTCAGAATGAGAATATACAACTTTGTAGCCAACAGTGATGTGCAACACAAGTTCCTTTTCACTACACTCTTAGACAAAATTAGTTGGAACACTTCTTCAGATCAACACCTGTGATCTTCTTTCACCTCTCACCCCTTCCAATGTTGTTAACTGCCAATGTGTCCATGCCATCTTGCAGACCAACATTGAGACAAGCAGGGGAGGCACTGCATCTCCCAAAAAATGAGTTTGGGAGTATACATGTAGGTTAAAGGGAAATTCAACCTGTTTCAGAGTTTAAAGGTTTAATTCCACTCTCAAAAATGCGACATACCTTGGGTCAACCTTTCAACCCTGAGATATAGGACATTACAAGTACCTGCAAAAATAGTACGTCAAACCAAAAAACCTGTATGGTAAAAACTAGTATCACCACTGGTTTATTCACCAGCTAACCTGTGTTTTTCCGTCTCGGTGTGCACAGTTTCTGTAATAATACATGGGTGAAGTTTCACATGCTCCATCATTGGCTAAGAAGATAAAACAAAAAGTATGTACCAGGTTTTTATGTACATTTTTGTGATGGGTATTAAGATCTGAAGTCAAAATACTTTGTCAACATTATATAGGGAGATGGAAGTGGGACTAAATAAGGTGTATGCTCAAGAAACCAACCACAAATGTAATCAAGCTCTGTGGTGAGATCTATTCAACAAAAGGAGTGATGTTGATCCTGGTAACACCTAGAGGAGACCTACATGTGACAAGGCAAGACAACTCTTGAGACAACAGGGGAAACTCTCCCAAAACAGGGTGAGTTGAAGGGTGGTGTCCATGGACCATGCTCCAATGGGGTCATAAGTAGAATAAGTTACAATGTATGTGAAATAAGTTGTCTCTTCTTACATATCTCAACATTTTAACTCACAGAAGTACTTAACTTTTAACTTTCCCAATAATAACCATACAAAATCCAGCATATAGTTCATAAGAATACCCAAACTTATCTTGTAGAAGTTGTTATCTTGATCTAACTCCAAATTCTTGTAACTAATTTATAAGGAAATCTGTAGCAGCTTGAGGAGAGAATTACTTATCAGATCTTAGGAGTAAAAGGGTTTTGAAAGTTGATGACTAAAGTTGCTGGAAAAAATTGTAAAGCAATGGAAAGGTTGGCTGACTACAGACTGTTTTTCAAAACTCTGTGGCTAAATGAAACTTAAATTTTGAAGAAAAGACCCAGACTCAAATTAAGATCCTCACCTTAATTGCCTTCTGGAAAAGTTTCTGTTTGGAAGGCTTACTGTAGGTTACTCTCAGATATGCCAGAAAATTGTTAGGATACATGGCATACAGACGATGAAAAAACATGTATACTGCGACGTGAAGGTGGAGGAGGTGCACTTCTGGGGCATTACCTGGGCAAACAACAAAGAAAGAATGCCTTGACTCATTTTCATTACAAATGAAGGGATACATGCAGTAAAACCTTAAGTGACTTTTGCTGCAAATTAAAATCCTCAATTTGTCCATCAGCACTCATTCAGGCCTTTATCAACATTTTCTAGAAGCACCAGAAAATGGTGTTTTCACTGGCTACTATTTTTCAAAGTGCTAGCTACTTAAATGCACATCTTGAACTGAAAGAATGTTTTAACCTTTGCTTAATCTTTGCAGGTACCCAAAAGGATGGCAGAGGCAGCAGATACAAGTATAATAAATATTGATACCCAGCAAGTGTTCTTTTGTCTCTTGCCAGCTAATGCTACAGTGCACAGCTGACAACTGAAAATCTCTGAAAAACACTGACTTTTTCCCTTGCAGTCCTTAAATGGATGTATTGATAACTCAGCTTTTAGATGTGAACAGAATATACATATAAACACCCATCATAGCAGAATATGGACGATCATTTCAAAAACCAGAATATTTTCATGCCGTAGATTAGGTTGTGAAAAGATGGTACCAGTCTCTTAATTAATAATCGTTATGAAGTTATTTAAAGTTGTTAAGAATGATCGATCAATCTGAAGGGTTGTGAGGGTGGAATGTGAGAGTGAATGGAATGTGATTAGTATTTTCCCTCTGAACCGTTTGTAATGCTGACTGTCAATCAATCTGTTGGGTGTGGTGGTGACTCATTTGAATGACAGAAACATAAGTATGTTTGCTTAAAATCACTTTGACCTAATTATTACTAAAAACTACATGAACTGCATTATGTATACAGGTAATTATAAAAAGCATTGTACCTGAATGACGAACTCTAAAATAGGACAGTCTGGAGAATATCTCAAATAAATCCTGTAAACAATGACCAATAGAGGCTGGTACCAATGGTAACAAAGTTGTAATGGTTAAAACACCACTTGTTAAAACCAACACATCTTCATCTCCCTACGAGTGAAATAATGAATTTCTTCAGCCAATTTACAAGAACCTTTTCAAAAACAGCAGATGGTTTGAACCCAGGGGTAACTTGTGATCTTGCAGTTCAATAGTTTGGGTAAAGTAATCCTGAGAAGGACTTTTGTTGATTGTTGACTCGAGGATGACTTCTGCTCAGATTTTGGAAAGATCAGACACTAATACCCACAACAGTCCTTCTCAGGACTACCCTCGCCCAAACAATTAGATCACATGATCACTCTAAAGAATTAACACAATCAAGTGACATGAGTTTGACTATAGGAAGACTCTGGGACTAAGACAGCTTCTTAAAGGAATCTTGCTTCTCCTCTTCATTATTGAAACACATCTTGAAAGCCAAGTGGGAATGTTCCCCAGATCTTCACTTGAAGGATCATGCTCAAAGCAAGGCCAATAGATGACATGGTTAAAATTAGATTTCAGGGACAAAGTACTGGAAATCCTAAAAAGAAAAAACCTCTGTCCTAAAACATTAAACTCTAATTTTATCCCCAAAATATTCCTCATGGTGATAGAAAAGTTTCCAAGTGAAAAAAAAGGTACTTTTCTAAAGCCAAGTGATGCCAGCTAGAGCATATCCCATTTTCATTATCCGGGAGTGACAAGGAGTATCACCACCCCCCTCAACCTGGATGGGATGCTTGTCCATTGTAAAGTTACCAGCATTTCATCAGGCTTCCCTGACAATTTGGCAGTACCCATTCATAAATTTATATTCCTGGGTCAACAGAGGCACTGTGAGAGTAAAGCGTTTTGCCCAAAACACAACACATTCACCCCACCAGTTCTCACACTTGGACCTCTCTACCAAGAGGCCAGCAAATTAAGCATTATCCCACTGCATCTCCCAAACTGCAAAGTGAGAAGCGCTGCAGAACAGTAATTATTCCTGGTGAAGCAAGGGATGTGATGTATTTTGGGGACAAAAGATTGCCTTTACCTTCATGCACTTCAAGAGACTTTCAAACAAGGATGTGTCTATAATCTTGTACAACCAGGAAGGCTGCAATGAAATGCAAACTTAACAAACTCAACATTTTGTGACACAAACATAAATAACAATTGATTCATCATTTTCTTAGTAATAAACAATTCTATACTGAAAAGCAGATACATCAATATTTTTTGAGAATATTTTCTGAATAACCCCATGCTATTGTAAAAAAAGAGCTTACTCCCAAAAGGTAATGTTTTGAATTGTTTACTGCAATTGTTTCCTGCTGTCAAAGAAATGTATCCTAATGAAGTCTTGGGTCCCATAGAAATCTTGCAATTTTATGCAGAGATACCATCATGGTCAGGGATTTATATAGAGTAATTTGTAAGTTTTAGGTTTTGAGGTGAATTTCTAGTCAGATAGCACAGGCTGCTTTGTCCACTGATATCTTGCAAAGTGCAGTTTTCCTCACTATAACAATAGTTTTTCGTGTTCCTACTGACCCAAAAATTCAATGTCCCTGACTGTGACAAGCAATTGAGAAGTAAGCAAATAGACTGCATGTTGCTGTACATCTGTTCAGCATTAGATCACAGATGACGTCAAAATGTGGTAAGTGCAAAAAGTGTCACACAAGGTACAGCCAAATGTGTCACTGACAGTCTTACCACATTTTGACATCGGTTTTCTATTTCAAAAGTAACTGTAAAGATCCATGGCAACAGGAATCATCTTGAGAAAGATGTGTTTTGTCTTATGATGAGCAGGGGACAAAGAAAAAATTCTGATTCTCCAAGACAATTCGAACCTCAGACCTTCAGATTCCATGCTCTGATGCTCTACCACTGAGCCACAGAAACTCTGCAGTCAGTGAGGTCTATTACAAAGTTCATATGACAAATGTCCTGCATACTGCTAGGATCAGCAATGTCGATAGCATTGTGTTTGTAAATAGAATAAGAGAGATGGTAAGTTTTTAGTAAAGAAATTGAGAAAGATGTCACTATCGTGGAACAAAGAAACAATTCTTGGCCCCCATGACGAATTGAACCTCAGACCTTCGGATTCCACACACCAATGCTCCACCACTGAGCCACAGGGACTCTATACAAATACTAAAAATAATAGTGACACCTCTTCCTATCTCTGTAGTTTAACAATTTGCGGGATTTAATGACAAATTTTGAGCGAAAATCAACCAATGACGATAGTGCACGAGGAAGTAGGTGTTAAAAGAGTGATAAAGAGCAGGCAAGTTGGTAAACCAAACGTGATCCCAACTTCCGGATCGTAAACTAATAATAGACCTAAATGCAACACGTGTTTCAGTTTGCAAAGCTACCGAATTCTATTTTTCATGGATGGAAAAGACATCTCTTACGATTCCAGCATGACTCTATAGCTATTTATTTAATCTAAAACACTAAGGATACGTTATTTCCTGAGGAAATACTTTCAAATTCCTACCATGGTTACCCTTACCTGCCTTCGCACAATATGACCTAGTAGCGATAGGGTGTCCAAACGGGACGGCGCATGTTTCAGGCATTCGTTCATTTTCTCAAATAATGCCTTTGAAGAGAAAACAACATACAGCTAGAGCACATTGTAGAAACAGATATGCCAGCGGATAACGAACAAAGCCTCTCAGAAAAAAATTCAATTGCCGCAGATCAGTTTACCTGAGCTCGCGCTTCGTGGATGCCGCTCAAAATCTGCAAACATGTAGGGGAACGCGTTTTTAAGTAATATTCCATCATGGTATTTAACAACCCTGAATCACGAGAAGAGTGAAGGTTTTCCTGAATCCGCTTTGTAGTCTCTTCCACAGTTTTAATGTTATCTGCATCTAGATCGAGCAGGGAAAACTCTCCCTGACTTGGAAGAGTCCACGTCCCCTCGGCTGCATGCATGGTACTGAGCGACTGAGCTTGTCTCGCGTTCCGTTGTAATCACGAGAAAGAGAGGTAAAACTGAGGCATTGCTCCACGAGGCAACACTTTCGCTGCCTTCATTCATCGCCAAAAGCCCAGGACATTTGAAGCACGTTCACTGTCTGGATCATCTTCGGTCGCCATTGTTGTTTGAGTTTTTTCCCCTAGTCACGTGCTGTCTGTGCACACATTCTTGATAAGTACATCATGTATGGAGAATTATTATGTCCCCAACACATATTATGTCCTATACTTTACATATAATACCCTACACACACAAACAGCGCAAAACAAGACAAAATACAACCATACACAGCTATACAGAGCTATAAACAGCTATACAGCGCTATAAACAACTATACACAGCTATACACAGCTAAACAGAGCTATACATAGCTATACAGGGCCATAGAAGGCTATACACAGCCATAAAGAGCTATACACAGCTATAAAGAGCTATACCCAGCTATACACTTTACAGGGCTGTACAGGGCTATACACAGCTATATAGGGCTATACACAGCAACACAGAGCTATACACGGATAAACAGAGCTATACACGGATAAACAGAGCTATACACAGCTATACACAGCTATACGCAGCTAAACAGAGCTATACACACCTATACATGGCTATACCCTGAACCTAAAACCTATACAGGGCTATACATGGCCATACAGGGCTATAAAAAGCTATACACAGCTAGACAGAGCTATAAACAGCTATACAAGGCTATAAAAAGCTATACAAGGCTATACAGTGCTATACGCAACTAAACAGAGCTATACACACCTATACAGGGCTATACAGGGCTATACACAGCCATACAGAGCTATGCACAACTATACAGAAAGATGCACAGCTATACATGGCTATGTAGGGCTATACACAGCTATACAGAGCTAAACACAGCTATACAAGGCTATGCACAGCTAATTAAAATTATAAACGGGGCTACACCCAGCTATACACGGCTGTACAGGGCTATAATAAAGGGGTAAGTTTCTAAAGAAACTGTGGTGCTGCGTCGGTGGGAGAGTATAGCAGGTAATCTAGTGTTAACAACTGAATTGAAAACGTAAATTAGCCACAGTAAAGGGTAAAAAAGCTGACGTTTCGAGCGTTAGCCCTTCGTCAGAGCAATTGATATTGCGATCGCGATTGATAGCGATAGGTCTATAGTTCTGACGAAGGGCTAACGCTCGAAACGTCAGCTTTTTTACCCTTTACGGTGGCTAATTTACGTTTTCAACTCAGTTGTTAACACTAAGTTACCTGTACAGGGCTATACACTACTGTACAGGGTTATACATAGCTATACAGGGTTATCCTCCGCTATCCAATACGTGACTCACGTTTACGGTTTTGTTCGGACACGGGTAGGGAAGACTGGATCTAGTACGCGTAGCCGGAGAGCAGAAAGCCTACGGAGTTCCTCACAGGGCATTCTTCTTCCCTTCAAGTTAGCAAAATGGTTCCGCCCTGTTTCTGACATTTGGAGATTTCGAAATGTTCCGTCCGATTTCAGACGCTTCTATCCGATCTCAGACGCCTCCGTCGGAATATAACGCAGCTCCGTTAGATTTCGGACGCTTCCATCCAATTTCGGACTATTCCGTTTGATTCACCTTGGTTGGTTTAATTCAATTCTATGAACTACACACACATAACATCGTTCTTAACTACATTTACAGCCAATGAGATGGAAAAGATTATTATTTGGGGTTCAAGAAAAAGCATTTTTTATATGTCAAAACTCAGTAAATATCTACGACTTTCAGTCATGCCGTGATGCATGGCCGAGATTGGGTTTTTCAATTACAATAACCCCCACTCTTCTGCTAAAAGAAAATCAAAATTGGTTGAAAAAATATTGGTCTTCTCCCCAGATGAAGTTATTCGTAGCAGTGCTTAGTGCGCTTTAAAATAACCATCTGCTTATTGCGCAATCAGCCCTGAAAATTCCAAGAGTCTATAACCATGTCTTGACTGCCTATCAGATTTGTCGTTCCTAGGGCTCTTTCGATTAGAGTATGAAAAATTTGCGAGAACTTTTTTTTTTAACGGGGTCAAATGTTTTGTTTTGCTTTTTTTTTTAGAGATAAAAGAGCAAAGGTCGCAATTTTTCAATTAAATATCGATCGAACCACACTTACCGTGTTAATTACGAACCTCCTTAAGTCTGCAGTCCGAAAAAATCCCATTTCGCGATTAATATTTGTTACATCTAAATGGCATCTACACAGAAAATTACATCTCAACTGAGTTAATCATGACCTGAATTATTAATCAACATCCCAACTATTCCTAGCTTTTTCCTAATTACGCTTCAAGCCATTTCCCTAATTGGTTAACTATAATTGCTACCCGCTTAATTTGTAAAATCCGCATACCCAGCGCTAGATAGTTGACATGACCCAACATAACCCGTAGAAAACGTTTTTTATGAGTACTTTATCATGCAAACTTGACAGCAAGTTTCTGAGTATCCAAGAACATATGTCTTACTTTCTGATCTTAGCTGTTAAAAACTTTACGTCATCACTGATCGAGGCGCATGTCGGGAAAATCCAGGCGATCGGGGGTTTCACTGCTTCTTGACCGTTCCAGATTTTTCCGACAAATGAAAACTCGAAATCATAGAGATCCCCGACTGTCTGGGATGGTTAGCCTCAATTGGGAAAATTGAGAACGTTTTTATTTTTTCCCGACGCGATGATCAGCGTTCATTCACGATAAATCAAACTTCAATTTTCATTGACAGGGACGTCGGAGATAGTTTTGGCTCGCTACCAGTCCTCTAGTTGCTCGAGTCACACGTGTAGAAGAATCGTGCGGAAGAATCTGGGGAAAACGTCTGTGGATCTCTTAATATAACTATATCGGCGATCGAGGTAATCGGGATACATGAAAGTGCCGATCTTCAAGGATACTCCCGAAATATGAAAATAATACCTGTGATTTATATTTCAATTTGTAACATTAATTTAAGCAGGTCACGGAAGTGCAAAGTTTGTATGTAAAAAATTTCTAAGTATGCTATTCCTCAATATCTGTCATGGTTCTGTAAATGACACAAACTCCGTTTTTTTGGCATCAAAATTTGATAACAGGCAGAAAAATGTTCTGTGACCCCGAATTAATTAGCTGTACTTTCAGTAAATAACTCTCAGGCGTTACTTCACTAATTTTCTTTATTGACTATAGTAAAGACGTTGCCGTTATAGGAAGCTAAGCAGGGGTACCATGTACCCCCCGCCATTTCGAAGGTTAGAACATTTTTCTGGTAGGAAATGTTGACCGGGAATGGGGGATGGAGCAGTGGTGAATGTGCTGTCCTCCCGTTCAATTCCTGGACCCGACGTCACATGTGGGTTGAAGTTTTTGTTGGTTCTCGTCCTCGCTCCGAGGATTTTTCTTCGAGGGTTATTTTGGCAATTTGCACGCGGTCAGGTATCCGTTGTCGTTGCGGGGAGGTAGTTGTCGTAAAGAGAGGAAAATAAAAGTGATGGACCACCGGCCGGAAAAAATTCTGTGCGACTGTTTGTTGGGGCCGTATGGAACTGTGAGGGGTTCCTGACGTGTGGCCCGAGAAAAAGAAGGACTCGGTATAAGGCAAGGAGGATGTGCAACTGACCCTGAGTAAATTTTAGGCGTCAAATTTCAAATCAGGTGTAACCAAAGAAATTCTTTATCTTCAAATTCCATCACTCGTCATTTCATATGCAGAAAACCTGGTTCTATGGCCCCCTATTTAAGCTGAAACTTTTGTTTATCCAGTCTGAAATGCAAAAAAAAAGGATGGATTTCGCGAATCCTTGAAAAGAAACTCCCAAGAAAATCATTATAAAAAAAGGCTAGATAGCAAAGGCACCTTTGAAGAACGATTTTTGTTGTTTGCAAGTTTTCGTTAAATTCTTGTTACGATCGAGGAATATGAACTTAAAGTCAACGGAAGATTGTTCAAAAGTGGATACAGGCAGGAGTTGGAAATGTCCTGTTGTCGTGCGCCCGTTTCCAGGGTTCCGCGAAGCTTCGATTAATTAATGCTTTCGATATGTTTCAAGTTGTTTTTAGATTCACTGTACATTTCAATATTAATTAGGATTCTCATTTAAAAGAATTAGAGACTAATTACGCTTCTCTCGGACGCCTCTGATCTATTCAAAAAAACACAAACACGGAATCTTTTCCTGCTGATTGTTAGTTATTTTTAGTCTGACTCTACACTTAGATCGGAAAACGTCTATAAATTCAAGATTTGGAGAATGATTAAAACGCCTATGTCAAGGTATTTCCGGTGGTATCCGGTCGTTTCGTATTTACGGTCATTCATGTCCAGTCGTTTCGTATCCAAATGCAGTCGATTCGTACCCAAGTTTGAGTCGTTCCGTACTCAAACCCCTGATCGATTCATACATTTATTCGAAGTACCTAACGCGCCAGCGCGTGAACAGATGTTAATCGTTGCAAACGACAAGTAAGTAAAGTAAGGCGAGTGAGATACAAACAAAAAATCTGTTGCGCATACTTGTGACCTTCTTAACAGACGCAACTTCACCTTTTCCTGGCACAGGGTAGGTGAAATTTTTAATGAAAAAGTCTATGTTTTATAATTGTGACATTTTTAATAGTTATAGCACATGCTTGTATGATATTTTTCTCTCTCTAATTGGTCACGTGGAAAACAAACTTTATTAGTCTGGGTTCGAAACGACCGAGTTGGGGACGGGACGACTGGGTACGAAACGACCGGTAACCCCTCTAGTAAACTCAAAACAACTTATGTTTTTTTTTAGGCTGGATCGTGAAAGGCTGCCTGTCCACTTGCAAGGCTCACATCAGGCATTATGTTCAAGTGCCTTCCTATCTTGAAAAGTCGCAAAGCAAAACGTTCATGCGTGAAAATATCGTCGAGTGTTCCGCATGAAAATCCAGTGAACTCCACACTCCAAAGAGAAAAAAGCTCACAAGCGGCCGCCCAAAAGCCCTGGGTTGTTTTCACCTTTGAAAATCAGGAACACCCCCTGAAGAAGAAAAATAATGAAATCAGTCACTCCGATACAGTGCAAAAGGAAGAGTGCAATAATGGTCCGAAAATGTTATTTCCCATTGTTGTGGTGCTTGGCTGAAATTAATGAGAGAAATTCAAGTGGCAAGATGGAATATTCAGTGTGCCAAGCAACTGAACATCACTCTTCAGCGTGATCGGGAATTGAGAAATCTGAACTTTGCATCTGCTGTGGGTAACTGTTTGTGACATCAAAAAGAACAATTTTAGATTTCCTGAAGAAAAAAATGTTTCCCCAATTTTTTGTAGCATTTATGGAGGAAAGGAAAAAACTGAGAATTTGTCGAATGCTGTTCCCGTCAGCGTCAAGTTTAAACTATGTTCAAGTTGGTCTTAGGTTATGTTCAAGCATAGAAACCGTAGGGTGTTTGTTCAATGTTGACGCGTGCACCAGCATAATGTTTTCCTAGAAAATTTCAGTTATGTTTTCGCTTTTCAAGGTCACTAAAAGCCATCAAAAGGCAATGAGCAAGGTTGGAACTATTGTTTGCAGTAGTAAATATTATCAAAATTAATTTTTTTTGTTCTTAAATTAAGGCTCCACAAACGGAGGCGCTCGCTAGTGATAATTAAGCTTTGCCTTTGATTTTTTTCAAATTGCTTCGGGGAAATCTCTCAAAATTTTCACAATTTGTGGAAAATTGTTCTGCCGATCATTTAAAAGCCGAAAAAATAGGGGTTACTTAGGCAGTTTCCCCGCTATTTGCAATTTTGTGTTTTCTTCCTCTATTTCAAATTTGGTCTTATGAATTTTTTTTTATCAACAGGCACCAGGAAGGGCACAAATATGTTTAACGGTCCAGCAAAAAAATTGCAACAAATTATTCATGAAGGTCATGGTCGTAAGTGACTAATTGGTGTTATTTGTCTCTCATATGTTCAATACTCCTTAATTAAAAGACCAATCAATTTAGCTCATGTCATTAGCAACGTCTCGTTTTGGCTTTGACTGAGCGGTGGTTCCTTTAATGTCTGAAACCTTTGTTGTTTCCCCAAGGTAGATATTGGCAATGTTGATTTCTGTCTCGTATTTTCCACTTCCATTGCATACTACGGCCAGAGCTTCGAAAACCAACTCAAATAGAGGATATTGCAACATTATTATACCTAAAAGGGGATGAGTTTTTAAAGAAACTTTGGTGCAGCGTAGGTGGGGGAGTATAAAAGATAATTTGGGTTTATCAACTGAGTTGATGATGAAAATGAAAATTGGCCGCGGTAAAGAGTTTTAAAGCTGACGTTTCGAGCTAAACTAAAATGGTTGCCCTCACATCAGAATTGATTACACCCGTGGGCAAAGACTTTGGTTCCTTATCATTAAGAATCTTGGTCGAATGTTTTATGAGCCAATGTTTGTCGCTATCTCACCTTTACGGAATTTTGAAAAATCTGCCCGAAGTTATCATAGCAAGAAGATATCTTTCCCTATCTGCTAGGGAGTTTGTAACGTAAAATGTATAATCTGATTCATATCCCTTAATGGCAGCTTTTGAAAATTATCATATTCGTTCGTCGTAAGCGTTTAATGTAAACAACCCTAAAAATGTAATTTGTTTTGTTTCTGTTCTCCTCCAATATTTAAAGAGTGTTGGGAATTGAGTATAGTTTGAACAAGATATGCAAAAGAAGTGACCAGAAAAACTTACAGGGACGGTGATTTACACAAAGTCTCACCCAAAGCATGGTTTTATGCAATCAGTGGGCCTCAGTCCTCTATAAGAGGGTTGATTTGACTAAATAAATGTCTTTCCACTGTTAGCTTTCGGCCCCCTTGCCATTTATAAAAGGTTGTCTAAATTGAGGATCAGTTAGGACGTGCTTTTGTTTAAACAACAGTTAAACTTTGTTTAAATAACCGGCCCATAAAGTTTAGTCAGGTTAGGAATTTTCCATTGAAATGCAAGTTAGTTTAGTAAACAATAGTGATATTTTCGCTGGGGACGGAAGACGCGACCAGAACTACGCCAGGGCGCATACCCACGAAATCACTCCAACGCCCTAACAGGTCAGGGAAAGTTTCACGGAAGGGAGGCGATACAGGCCAGGGCAGAGCCTGATACAGGCTGTACTCAACCGAAGCTGCAGGAAGCCAGTATAAGATTGACGTCTGGTAGGAAAATTTTTTAAGTGGCAGATTTATTACTGTGATCGAAATGACGGAGAGGACATCAGATGTTGAGACCGTCACGACATGAACCTTATTGAGGTGAAGGACGTTTAGAACCCAGCGTGAACACCTTCACGTTTAGAAGTTCCAGGTTAACTCAGGAATTTGGAGAACATAAAATCTACTTCGCGAATAGTCCTGTGGGAGTAGTCAGATCTAAATAAAAAAACGGAAATTACATGTAAAATGAGGTTGAAGTAAAACTGGGGAACGGTATTAAAATTTGTGTTCATTGTTCTAACAGGAACCCCAACAAAAAATTTTTCTTCAAACCTAACCGGGGAAATCACGGTACCGTCTCTTGTTACTTCTAAGTTTTACTTTGTCTGTGATCAGCATTGCGATTTCCTTTCATTTTGTTGACCTGATATATCGTAAATTTTCGGGCTCGATTCAAATCAACGACGGTTTTGGGCTGTAACGTCTCTCCAGGAAAGAACGGATTACTAAATGAGCACGGTTCATTTACGAAAACAGTGTGGCAATAGATGTTTAAAATCGTGCAATATTCATGACAGTACATAGGCGCCGCGTTCGTGAAACTTATAAGATAGAGGTACATTAATTTTTTTCAAATAGGATCAAGATGGGTAGGGTATGTTTCAGCGCCAAGACGGGGGAAGTTGCAAAAGAGTAGTGCACGTGTGTACGGCATTTTCAGATCTTTGACTATCGAAACACGGAGTTCCCTATTTTTGTTTGAAGTAATGACAATGATGCGTTTAAGCAGAAATTTGTAAGGTGAAACTGGCGGGCCTCCAATTGAGCTTCCCTATCTCCCATCCCGTCAAAAAAAAAATATGCTCCCTCCCTCCCGACTCAGGAAATAATATGAGCACCCTGCAGTCTACTTTTTTCTTTTTGACGAAAAAATTCCTTGTCCGAAAGTGTGGCATTCCCCTTTCAATGATTTTTGGGGCGACTCAACGTTCATTTGATTATTCATTTATCAATCTTTCTTTGTTTCTCAAAATTCATTGAGAACGTACCTGATCTCTCTATGTAAGCAAAGGCCATTACACTGGTACCCATTAAAATTGGAGTACCCAACCATCGCTCCAACAAATGGACACCGGTATCCGGTCCCTTCACCGGAAATTCAACACGCCGACACCAATACTCAACTCACTGACACCTTAGACCAATTCACTGACAGTCGTCTTTGATACTGAAATCGAGAAGTTAATTAGTAGTCTGACTGCAAGGATCACTTCTTAGCTTAAACTATTGTGTCGGCGAGATGAGCAGTGGTGTCGGCGAGTTGACCAAAGGAGTTGGCGAGCTGACGGTAATCTGGACGTCTTCAGTTACGAGTCAAAGTTGAACTGAATAACACTCGTGTAAACGCGTCAAGAAAGAGGAAACTTCGACCAAGTGTCGAAGTGCTTTTTTTCTACCTGTTTACTTTTTTGAAAGGAAAGGGAATTAAAGCTGGTAGGGCGGTTTCTGGGTTCAAAAGTTATGGTAGGGTAGGGTTGTTCAAAATGAAAAAATCATTTTACCGTACTCTTGAGATTTAACCAAGGAGAATTTCACCGGCAACAGCCATGTTTTCAAACTTAAAGTAGTTCTCCGAGTTTGACTTAAGCGAGACAAAGTAGTGTCGTGAATTCCAGGTCTTTACACTCTACGTTTACACGAACATGACAAATGATAGACAGATTTGACCTTTCATATGTGACACGAGCATTTTGCAGGTTTTACATCGGCAAATTGTTCCCGTTTCACAAAAAATAAATAACCGTAGAAGAAAACCCCCCAAAAGACTCCGAAAATTTTAATTCTTTATTTCAACCGCAACTATTAATTCGCCAGAAACAGATTAAGTGCTGTCAAATGTAATCTGCTACTGAACTATTTCAGCAAGTGATCAACCAAAGAATAAATGTCTGACAAGAATATCCTTTCGTGCTCTGCCTGTGTTCTTTAAACCCTGCCAGTTTCTTGAGGTCAATTATCTTTGATCAGATGGTAGAGTTACGTGTGGATAACAAATGCTTATAAATATTGACTTATCATAATTACCTACCAGTGAATAAATAAGAGCCCAATGGTTGACACTAATTTGTGACATGAAATTATGATTTCTGTTAATAGTCACAGAATTTTAGAAGGCAACTTGATATACTGATAACCAAAATTCTATCTTGAGTCTTAGAATGTACACTCTTACTGATACTGTCATGGTTGGCACCAAGCCAAGTAAACACTGTGACAAAAAAAAATTTTACAAATTAATTCTTTAAACCCCAAGAGTGATCAAAATATAACTTATCCCTATAATATTCATAAATCATACAGTAAGCAGGTAATAAGAATACTCAAACTTATCAGGTAGAAGTTGCTAACTTGATCTAGCACCAAATTCTTGTAACTTATTTACAAGGAAATGTGTAACAGCTAGAAGGGAGAATTGAAAATCAGATCTTGGGAGTTAAAGGGTTAAGGTAAGTATGCTTTGTTATAAAACCACTTAAAATTAATATGTTGTGGTAATAAGTAATTCATGCTATGCTATCATTAAAATTCACCCTGCTGGAGAATACACCCTCCCTTCACCCCTATAAAATAAATTTTGTCTTTGCAAATAGGAGTTCATAGGCCCTTCTGCTCTCCCTGACTAAGCTAAGTACACAAGATGCACAATTCATACTGTGGATCCCTATGGCAGAAAAACTACAAAATTATGCCTCAAGAATCTTAAACATATTGTCATGGATTGTTCAAAGTGAGATGATACAGTTAAACCAGGGTCCAATGTGTAACAACTACCTATCTTGTTAAGCCTTCTTCTTAGTTACTAAATACTTGTATATCTTTACTTTCAGCTGAGATGATTATTACATTAATTTCAGCATACTTTATTTCAATGGTCGTTTTGCATCTTTCATATCAAAAAGAGTCATATCCTCTTCTTCCTCATCAACATCTCTGTCTAGTGGCTGCAATTCCACGGACGCTGCCCCATGGATTACCCCATACCTTGTGAAATTAAAAAAAAAAGGGAAAAAAGAGGGATATGACATTAAAGCAGCTAAATCATGGTACTTCACACACACTTAATTTAGTAAATGGATATAATTAATAGCCTATGAGCAGGTTTTCACTGGTATTGCTACACATGTATCTTCGGGCTTCTTCACAAGGCTGAGAGAATCAAGTCTGTGACAGGCACAATACAGAGAGATGGTTGGGTTTTTTCCTGATGCATTTCCCTTTATTTTTAAGGTATCAAAATTGGAATTTCCAGTAGGGCCCCCCCACACTTTAAAGACCCAGTGGAGCTCAGTGTGACAGGTCTTGGCAGACCCCTCACAGACCTTCTGCCAACAGGTTGTATGCCTACTTAACTTCAGCTGACTAAGCAAGAAGCCTACAAAAAAGTGGAAGGATTGTATCCTTTCAGGAAAAAGTATAAAATGAAACGTAATGGTGAGAAAATAGATCACATGCCACAGAACAATTAAATAATGGATAAATTAAAAAAAAGAAGAAAAATAGAATTACAATAAAGAGTTATTTACTAAAGCTTACTTCTTAGCTTTCCGTCTTCCTCTTGTTTTAAGAGTTCGGACAATAAAGTAAAGTGCAACAAGAGTACTGATTCCTATGGCCTGCAAATAAATTATTTTAGGGGCTTAATGCAAAAATGAATAGAGCAAGGATAGACTAGAGTAGCATTAAATTCCCAACTGATTTTAATTTCTACTAAAAAAGATATAACCATCAATCTAAATCAAGAGGGAAGCAAAAGCCTCTTCATATGATATATCTTGATAATAAAAAAAAAAAGAAAAAGGTTATCCCATGATATTCCCTTAAAAATCATTAAATACTGAAATTTTCTGCACAAGCCACACGCAAAAAGGGAGGGAACTGGGGGGGGAAGGGGACAGGGAGTAGGGGGGTACTTATACCAGTTTTAAAGGCTTGGAAAGTCCTGGAAATTGTCAAACTAAAATTCCAGGACTTTCCAGGTTTTAAAACATTTTTTAGTTTTGGTGTGTTTAGGGTAGAAGTCATGCTATCTTAGTGTTACATACAGTGATGGAAAAGCTTAATTCTTCATTACAGTGCTTGAATGGAGGCATGATAAACAGCTCATTGTTTAATCTGGACCTACGCTTTTGAACATATTCTACTCACCACATATAATGACCTCTGAAGCATACCATTGGTAGAACCACCACTGACATGGTAAGTAAGAATCAAGGTTGAATTCACTTCTTCTGTGCTGTTAAAACTTGTGGGTGTAGAAATTCTGGTTGTGGAAAGTGTGGCTGTAGTAGTTTCATTTCTTACCAAGGATTTGGATGTAGGTGCAGGTTTTGGGGTTGTTGTGTCATTGACATCCTGCACATCAACTGTGTACACAAGAATAAGCAATGGCCTTGTCTTGCTTACAGATATTATTTTCAATTAAAAATATAGCTTTGGTTAATTCGCTCACAAGAAATGCAATAGTTGTCATTATGAATGCATGTGATATTTCACTAATAGTGAGCAAATCATTTGCACAAAATTACAATTTTGTCGTCAGAGAAAAAAATTAAATGGGAAAAGAAAATGGAAAAAGTTCGTAAATTGATCATTCAGATTTTGAAGCATACATTTTAGAATCCTTTAGAACACAACAATTTAATTTTTCTGCATATCAATATTCTTTTTCAAATCAGTCTCACGTTTTGATAATCATCGTGAAAATGCGAAATATGAGATCCATTGTGGGTCACGAGTGTGGTTGAAAGCGAAAAGCATTCAAACAACTAGTATTTGAGCCTGAAGTAATGTAACTAAAAGCAACTAAACAAACCAACAGATCAAAAATCATAGGCGGTATTTCTATGTAAATGATGATAAAAACACAACGTCTGTTTATTTGACAATAGATTTCAACATTTCATTGAAGTATTCAACCCCGGCTTAATAAAAGCAACCAGAGTTTATAATCTCGTAAAATCACTGATCCTTGATATGAAATAAATGCGTTCCAGCTTTTTATCGAAAGCCAACAAACCATTTAATGTTTTGTATGAAGAACGTACCACTGACTACAACTAAATGAATAGAATTTAAACCGAAAGGGCCATACGCTCGATTCCAAACGAAAAGCTCTTGCTTTTCGGTGATGCAATTATAAAAATTATAACAGCTTAGGGCGTTTTTAATACTAAAAAAGATATAAATACTAAAAACACGTTTGTTCTATTTCCCAACCTTCGTACTTGATAGCATTTTAATTATTCAAATTTACATGAATTTCAAACGACGTGTTGTGGCAAGTGCAGTACCAGTCAAATTGATTTTACCCAAATAAAATTGTGTTACCTTGTGCAGGAGCTAAAGAGACGCAAACGGCGAAAATCACCAGCTTCAGTAAGATGTTCATTTTACAGACACCAGTATGTGAAAGCGAGATAGATCGTCGTGTCCCTGAGATCACAAGACATTAGAAAAGCGCTCGATTTAGACGTAATATGCTAATAAGATAAAAAAGATATGATAATCGTTGGGAATACTATGTAACCACTCCTTATTATAATGAAGACTTGAGCTTTTTGCGCTTACAATGATCTCTGGGATTTCACAGATACGACTGCACCCAAGCTGCACATTTTTCATTTTACAGTTTTTTCTTTTCCTTTTTTTTTTTAAACGTGTTGAGATTTACATAATAACGCAAATGAAAGTTTATAATAAAATGAGGCATCATATTTTATATCAAAGAACGAGGAACATTTTCGAAAGGAATCCTATCAGCCTCTTGGTAAAAGGTCCTTCTAATCCATCTTTTTGTCCAAATAAGGACACTTCCGACTTTATTCCACTTTCTAAAGCTAAATTAGATAAAGCTTTGGAGTAAGGAGCCAAACGGAAAAACAGAAAGAAAAGAAAAAGCTTTGGAGTAAGGAGGTAAACGAGGATAGCACGTTCTATCTAGGATCGGAATTCGAATTTTGATTGGGGACATAAGCACTTTGCAAATCAAGCGAGATGGGCAAAGTTGTTGAATGTGTTTCCCAAAGACAGCATCAGCACTGAGAGGATAATTTGATCAATTTTATGGTATGAAAATTGTGATAAGGGAAAATATAGCAAATATCTGCGCCTAGTAAAGTTTCAATGACCTCTTGCATTCATCGAGGGCCTTTGATGCAATGGGCGAAATAATTGATAAAAAATAATTCAATGAACTACTATGTGGTATACCTTTATGAAGCTCTAATCACCAAACATTCACTTTTCATGTTGTTTCACAGGTTAGAACTACAACTCTTTGTGCGACGTTCTTCAGACACAGCAATTGTTAAAGAAAGAAATTTATTGCGGTGAGTTATAAAATGAGTTGCAAATCCCCAGGATGCACGACCTTAACAAAAGGCTAAAAATAAAGACACAGCTTACTTGAATGAACGTTTAAAATTATGGCTTAAACACTGGTATGGTTTAAAACCAGTTTAACGGCTTGCTGGGCACGGATATAAATAATTAAAAGAGTACAGAATATACAAAATAAAGGTGCATTCGGGGAAGATGATTTTCAGTAAGAGCGCATCCCATTGAGTGTGCCTATTATAAAACCAACACCAAAGTAATCACAACGGCCGGTCAAAAGAGAGGAAAAAGGTTACAAGAAGCAATGAGAACTCAAAATAAATAAAAGTAAAATTCTTGAACTGCAGGAAAACGCGGGAGATAAATTTGAGTCTGTTTTCCCTTTTCTTGGATGTGATTCGTTAGTAAGGTGGCGCTAGGTATTGGACCGGTCATTCTTTATCGAGGAGGAAAAGGAGGGGGGTCCGGAGAATTTTGGTTTTATCATAATAAAATTTACCTGACTCCCCCCTAACGCTCTGTATTATTGTCTATCGTGCCCCCTTTATACTCCGTTGACGACCACGAATCCCCCGTTCCCCCTGAAAACCATGTGACCCCCCCTCCCCCCCCCAACCCAGGTGATAAATAATAACTGGTTGCTAAGTTTTCCAAGGTAATCACTAGGCAAAGTTCTGTAAAAGCTATGCATTCTCTGATTACTTTTGACACTCAGATGTAAAATAGCTCCAAACCTGAAGTCTAGACCAGACTAAGCATGAGTAAGTATGACAAAGTTAGGACAACTCATGCAAAGATCCTTACAACGTTAAAATACATTTGGATATAGGTGTTAACTGTGGTAGCACATCAAATGTTCAAAAACTAAACCTAGAAATGTCTATATACACTGTAAAAACAGTTCTACAGGCTAGCGTTCCATCCATGTAGTGCAGATCTGCAGTGACTTGCAACTGATGGATTCCCGCTTTTCCCAGCTTCTCTTTTGTGAATATGACCGCCTGGTTTCCAAGCATCCTGATACCGAACGGGGATGGCTGGGTTGAGAATGTATACTGAAACTGGCAGTAATATCGAAGCGAAGCCATGTAAGGCGGGAAAAATGGGATCAGACGGGCAATGTCGGTATCGGCGGGAAATCCAAGCGGTAGTGTAAACACTTCCTGGCGCGTTGCTTGAGCCGTACAGTAGTAGCCTGGGGTCGAACACTGATTTACGCAGAACCTGAAGTTGAAAAAGACTTCTTCTAAATGACAGTGCTTGATCCTGAAAACTCAGACAAATAAAGGAAAACCTCTAGACTATCAAGGCAATTACAAAGCCGACTTCATAGGGAGTATACTGAATGTAAAATAATACTAAAACGATCGGAGACCGTTCGGAAAAGGTCGAGTTACTTACCCGCTTCCGACGTTGTTATAATACTGTGGACATGAAGAAGGTAGACATTGATAACTGCCTCTCGTGTTATAACATTGATTCTGACTGCAAGGTCCACCCGTCAGCGCACATTCATCAACATCTAATGAATAAACAAATATGCAAAGTTAACTCCCTAAAATATGATAAAAACCTTTATGCTATAAATTCACGCTATCTCCAATAGCGCGATATTTACTCTCAATCATTTGGTGCATAAATAGGACAAAAACGTGGCATAATTAAGGTATGCCGCGGTGAAATAGAAAAGGGGCCTTTTTGCGAGAGCATAATTGAGTCAATGGACATTCCTTTACGTTCATCATCTACAAACTATCAGCAGTGAACAACATCTCTTCAAAACGAAGCGAGAAAACGTCTTGAAAGTTTAAGGCAGAGGAAAGGAAAAGCAGAAAAAAGGAGTCAACTTCGAAGCATTGCATCACTCATTTCACGTCAAAAAAAATTTTAGGGCGAAACTCGACTCATAGGCATAAATGAAAAATAAAGAGCGTTCACGAAATGACTCAGTCATTGAAGGCGGATCAGTTTACCTTGACACTTCTTCCCATCAGCACTGAGATGATAACCAACTGGACATTCACATCTGTAACCTCCCAGCGTGTTTATACAGGCATACTGGCACGAGTTGGTGCTGTTGGATGAACACTCATCCACATCTGAAAAAGAAAGATGAGACAAATGTAACAATGATTACAAAGATATTAATCATAACTTAGTATTGTTGATAGGATAACAAAGACAAAAACCATGGCTTCTTCAGTCTTCAGAACTTCCCCTCGCTTCCTCTTTTTATTTTCTCTTTGTGTTAGGGCATTTACCCTTTAGACTCGGGATTAATCGAAGATTGGAAAGCGAAAACGCGAGATTCATTATTATCATTATTATTTTTTTAGGACGGGGGGCGGGAAGCCGATGCAATGGGCCTGTAGCCTACACCACTGTCATCATTTCTTGCGAGAAACGGAAGGTAAGCGCGTGGTGAGCGCGGGGCAGGAATCTCACTCGAGAGACGAAGCGCTCCTCGTATCAGGCGTGACCTGCCTTTACGTTCTTTCCGCACTAGCTTTGTTCTTGCCTCCACTCGCATGAAAAACGCAAAAACTATGAAGCGAATTCTGCAGACTGAAGGCCTAACATCAGTATATCTAAAGGATAGTAGAAATAGGTTAAGTCGTTTAGTGTTATGGACATCAAAGATCATTGCTGGTCAGAGGGATTGCATAGGGGTACATGTCCGCTTAAAACAATACACACAATACAACATTTTGATCTGTTAATTTCGTACCCACACAATCTTGCTTGTTGTCAGCAAGTCGGTATCCACGCGAACAGGAACACTTGTATCCTTGCGCAGTAAAGTCACACTGTTGTTCGCACCTTAACTTTTCAAGGGCGCACTCGTCTACACCTGTGAGACAAGTTTGGGATCGTTTGTACCCCTTGTTGTAATACAAGATCAAAAATCAAATCTTGGTATCCACTTACGTTGAAACAAATCAATAAAAAAACAAACAAAAAAACACAAAACAAGATGGTAGTTTTGTCGTCCTGTTACCAGCGTGGTACAAAGAAAAAAGGATTCCGAGTCCTCATGGGAAGTCGATCCTTAGACCATTGTATTTCGCACTCCAGCGCCCTGCTACTGAGCAAAAGAAATTCTACAATGGGCAAAGCCATTGTTAGGTTCATGTGTGACAGAAGTTCTGCGTATTGCAAGGCTCAGCAATATCAGAGGACTGCGTGTGTTTATAAAATAAGAAAGAAGTGAATTGAATCCAACTCAAAAGTAGATACTAATGATATCAGAAAACACTGCACCGGGTATCGCAGAAGTCATGGCTTCAAATCCCGTACAGGCCTGAATTTTTTTCAGGCCTTATTTTCACTAAGGCTTAAGTAGAGTGCATTATTGCGAAGATCACTTCCAAATTCACGATAATACCAGGGTTGAACAATGTTTGTTGTATGTCCTTACCTGAGCAGGTTCGTTGATCGGGATTCAGGATACCACCACCAGGACATCGGCACTCGAAACTGCCGATAGTGTTAACACACTGATGCTCACAAATGCCTTGAAACTGCTTACATTCATCCACGTCTACCGAGAAATTGTTTATTAGCTAATTTGTACAATCGTTATTATACAGTAGCTGCTTCAGAACTGTGGTATAAAGCACTGGAGGAGGTTTCTCTTTCAGAGAGCTTTTAGTGTACGCGCACTCCTTACAGGAAAGTGAAACAGCGATAAAATCGAGCCAACTTGAAAAGTCCTCTAGTCATCGCGAACCAACCTTTAGAAGCTAAACTGACACTTATAAGGGATACTATTCTGCCACAACGAAACTCGACTAACGATGACAACTTTGGCGATAAGGATTGGTGTTCAAACCGTTGAAAGCATCAAAAATAACAACAAAGTCGCCTGATGCTGTTTTCTTTTTGACGCACAAATGACAACAAACACTCAAGTCTTCCTATGGCTAAACTGCATGTGCTTTTTGTTGCCATTTTATTTGGAGAAACTGCTAACAAGTTGCAGTCACTCGACTTTGCATTGCGCTGTTCTTACCTTCACAAGGTGAATTGACCGTCTTGGCTGAATACCCTCTTGGGCATACACAGTAGAAACTGCCATATGTGTTCATACACATCTGGTTTGACTTGCAGTTGTGTCGGCCTTCATCACACTCATGAAGATCTAAAGACATACGAAATTCAAGAATAAATGTAAATTGAAATTTTAATGCACTGCGAAACAATACGTCTGCGCATAGCGAAGCAACTGGTGGAAATACGGCGACTTTCGCAGGTTCAAATTTTCTTGCAAAGGTAAAAGGATTCCACTGACACTGATTTACTGCACCTACTGAGAAGGTCTCTCTGATCTATTACCTACTTAATTTTTTTCAGAGGTTTAAATTTGTATTTGATAATTGCAAGACTATATTTATTTTTTCCAAATATTGTTCGAAAAGATAGGCTTACGACCGGTAATGATGAAAAGACATATATTCTAAAGTTAAGACGGTTTTATGACTAACACTTTATCTGAAATAAAACTAGTCCAACTACTTGACTATGAAAACGTTTACCCTCCCTAACATCAGCATGTACATTCTCCATACTGTCCTTTATAAATTTCCTATGGCACTGACAAGGAGAATTTAATGAAAAAGCAAGAGCTTTTAAAGTCTATGATCATTTCCTTAATTCTCACGAGCCTACTCTCTCATTCAGCAGTGATACATTTGTGAGAAATTAGATGCTAGTCACCTTCAGAGGTTAAAGGGTTAACACTTTCACTCTCAGCTTGTAACCAAAGAAGAATTTTTCCTTAAAAGCTTAATATAATTTCCATCAAAAATGTGAGGAACAGGAAGTTTCGTATCAACGAATGGATCCTTCGTGATCTAACTCCAAATTCTCACAGCCAAAATTATACGAAATGTAGGAAGGACAGTACTGAGAATAAATAGTTAGACCCTGGAACCAAAAATTGGTGAGACGTTCTTACGCTGCCGATTTTTCCCTAGTAAGTGGGCTTGTCCAGAAAACTGGTTATCCCTATCACTGCCGAGATCTAATCAGTAATTCTCCTTCAGTATCCTAGACAAGAGACAAATGTGTCAAACTGGTCGGGGAAAACCTAGTGCAGATGCTGTAAACAGCCCAAGATGGGATTGAACAGTTATTTTTTAAGCAAAATAGGTCTTACCCACACACTCTTTATCATCCATGGTTCTTTTGAAGCCCACGTCACACTTTCCTAAACACTGAAAGCTACCGGGTAAGTTCACACAATGAAGATTGCCACAAAGAGTGCTGTTCTCGGCACACTCGTTCACATCTTGACGAGAAGAAAAAAAAAACAACAAGTGAAACATTGATTTTCCACAGCGTTACCCTTTTTAACTCTTTACACACTTACAACAGTATGCGTAATCTTCATACTGTTCTCTTTACAATTTGTTTAAGACGCTGAAAAAGAATTTCTTTAATTGGTGATCATTTCCGTTAATTTCGTGGCCTAAAGTTTGATGTAGGATTGATATTGTAAGGAGAAATTAGATGCTAGTCAGTCTTAATGGTTCAGGGGTTTTAAAACGTGCCGTAAATACATTCAGTTATAACATTTTCACCTCAAGAATCATCAAGCGGCATTAACTCACCCACACATTGGTTGTCAGATACGTAGCGATATCCTTGGAAACAGAAGCATCTGTAGCCACCTTCAGTGTTCTCACATCCATGGTCACACAGCCTGGTACCGCACTCATCAATGTCTGTAAGCATATGCGTTAAACAGGTCAAATTCTGATTGAGTATTGTTGCGTCAAAACCAAGGTAATCACAACGGCCAGTCAAATGGAAGGGAAATATCCTTAAGAGCCAGTGAGAACTTAGTAAAAGTTCAAACAAGTCAACTGCCTAAAGCGCGGGAAAACGCTGGCGACCAAGTCGTGATTGGTTTTTAGCTTTGCATGGGATTGATCGAGAGAGTGGTACAAGTTTTCTGGACCAATCACAGAGTGAAGTAAAGCAAAAACAATAAAATCCCAGACTGATATGCATCCCCACCACAGTTTTAATGAATGAGGCGTCACCCAACAATCCCTGAAAACTGAGCAACAGAGGTTGACGTTTAATCCCCTTTGTAATGACACCTTTAAATTTGAACACAACCTTTTATATCCTCTTGCTCCATCGTACTAAAGGTTTTTTTCTTTAATAATAATGACTTACAAAACCTACAGGAAGCAGGGAACTTATATTTAGTTGGGACGGCTAAATTGGTCCTCCCAAATCACCTCGCTGCTGTAATGAACTGCTGATCATATTCACTTTATTGTTATTATTTTAATGATGTTTGTGCTATTGAGGTACGATTCTTTCGTTTTGGGAGATTAAAAGCTATGGACAGAGTGTCCACGGTATACTCTTAGTCTAGCGAGGGGACGCCTGATTGCCGATTTTTATCGCATCCATTTTCAAAACCACTGGTGATCCTTTCAATCTGATTGGCTCTCATAGGTGCGATTTATTCACGAATCGCTCTTTTTTTGCTCTACATTCCATCTTTTTCCCAGCCAATGAGGAAGCTCTACTAAAATACAACAATCACTCCACTCAGTTCAATTACCATTATAAATGATGCTTTCTTAAAATAAGAAACCAGGGGTCGATCAAGTGTGTTCATTGGTTCACGTTTTAATTATTGTCAGATCACGTATGACTTTGCTGCGTAACACAACAACATAATATTTTTCAAACCTTCACATCGGTCTCCCTTCAGGTGATATCCGTCCTTACAATAACACCTGTAGGATCCTGGCAGATTATCGCACCGATGTAAACATGGATCATTCCGGTGAAGAGAGTCCGATGAATTCGCAAACTCGCACTCATTCACATCTGAGAGAGAGAGGAGAAAGAAAAAGAAACACATTCAAGTAGAAAAACACAAAGAGCTAAATTACTCAAAGATAATTCCAAACTTTCCGCGCTAATCTCCTCATTAGTGGGTGAACGTTACGTTACAGAAACAGCTTACGAACTCTGACAAGACTGTTGAGACAATTACACTGCAAGTACTCCTAATTTTCTTTTTACATCCTACTATTTCTTTCCCCTTTCCCTTTTCCAGTGTTATTAAATATTTTAATTTTCCTCGCGAAAACATAGCTGTTTTGTCATAGCTGTGCTGACATGCGCACAAGGTCAAACTAGAGAAGCACAAACATTACCGACACAGGTGTCATTCGCAGTCATTAGAAATCCGTCGGCGCACTTAACACGACAGCGGTATGAGCCAGCAGTGTTGACACATTCTTCACCTGATGGGCACGAAGCAGTACCCAGACTGCATTCGTCCACATCTGGAAGAAAACATGAAGAAATTTTGTCTCTAAGGGGTTATGCACGGATGTGTGAAGTAATTACAAGCATAATTATATGAATAAACAATCATTTAACCCTTTAACTCCTGAGAGCGATTGGCACATTATTTCTCCTCACCGTATCCCTCTTGAATCAAACATTGAGGCAACGAGAATAAAGGAAATGATCACCATCAACCAGAGAAGGTCTTTATTGTTGAACAAATTCTCCATGACAGTATTATAGGAAATGTAAGGAGAACAGTGGGGAAAATATGCATATCAAGTTTAGGGTTTATGGCATTAAATTTTCTTGGATGTTCTCTGGAAACGAGGCGTAGGTCCTTCA